TATATATTTTTATTTTAATATTGTTATATATTATATATGATTAAAAATTATATGTAAATCGATTTTAATTTGATAATTTTATAAATATCAGTTAAAACCAAATTAAAATATTTAAATCATATTAAGCATCTAACTAATAAAAAATTATCTACTAATATTCGAATCAAATGCTGAATTCTTCTAAAATTTGAATTGATATTCGAAGAAGAGAGCTTGGACTTCACAACTACCATTACAAAGCATTATTTTATCACATTAAAATTTTGAAAAGGATTTTTCATGAATAAACAGAAGCGCGAAATCTTCGACGAGAAAACACAAATGAACAAATAATTATTAAAAATTTGAATTGAAAAACAGAAGGAGAAGATTTAAATAGGAGAGTTTTGCAGATTAAGGAATCTGCTTACCGGAAGAATTCATCACAGTTTCTTCTTCTCATTCATAGGTTCATCTCTCACTTGTTTCTGTTCTTTTTCTTGTTCCTTCAACCTTCATCGAGCGTTTTTGCTGAAAGCTTATCGTTCTCGTTTCTTCTTCTTCTCTTTCTTCTTGTTGTTATATATGTATATATTTGTGTTGCAAGGTAATTTTAATTGTTTGATCTGTTCTCTTAATATATTACTTGATGATCTTGTTTGTACTCAAGGATCTAATCATGATCAGACAAAATCATGCATTGTTATCCTAGTCAACAGTTTCCGCTTTAGGTTTTGAAATTTAGGATGTTTTGCAACAATCTCTTCTGATTTTTCAATGTATATATGTATATATGATGAAGTTATACTGTTTTTTTTTGCTGTATTTTAACTATTCTTATTATTGATGTTTAGGTAGTGTTAAAGTTTTGGTCAGGCTGCTTAAGCAAATCAATGAAATAGCCTTTGCTTGATAAGATTTTGCTTGGATTAGGAAGCTCCAAAGGAGTGTTTTTCTCCTTTGGAATGACTTCAAGTTGAAGGTATGTTTCAATTTTCTATAATGATCATATTTTGTGCATCTCCTTGTATTCCAATGGAAGTCCGGGTTAGCCGAAAGTCCCTATGGATATATCCGGTTTTAGAGATATTAGAGTTTCAGGTTTAGAGTTTAGGATTTCCATTTTCAAGAACATTGAATATACTACATTTCGAGTTTGGAGCAACTCATTCATATTGCCTAGTCTTTATACTACATTTCGAGTTTGGAGCAACTCATTCATATTGCCTAGTCTTTCTTTCGGTTTTTTAGTGTTGATTGAAGTCTGTGTTGTGGTCTAAAAGGCAAATCTCTTATTCTGGAGAACTCTCCGATGAGCTTTTCGTATGCTGCATTCATGGATTTTTAATTGATAGATTGTTTCCATAAGATGATATTAAGGTCCCCATGTTTGGAATTTACCGGATATCATGTGTAGCCGATATTATATTGCAGCATTTGTTTCATTTTTCTAGGATTAATTGATAGATCCGGCGCTTCCTTGGAGCTTATCAGCTTTGTGTCTGCTTCATCTTCACTAGTAGCAGTCCAATTATCCACATAATGGGTGGCTGCATCTCGGTACATAGTGAGAAGGCACAGTCTAGGTTGCATAAAAGACGCTTTGGCAGATTCCGCAAGCGCCATGGGAAAATCGCCTATTTCATTCCCCATGTATGTGTGAAAAGGATGAGTGATGCTGGGAGTCATATGACAGAATTTTCTGTTAGTGAATATGTTCATCTCGACTTTGAGGCGGATGCTTCAACCACCTGCAATCGCAAGCGCTCAGAGATGTCTAATATGTCATTTCATCTAACACAACTACAATGGAACCGCAGTCAAATCGATGCCAATGGTCTCTTCTATTCATCTCTTGCCCTCTATACACTTATTGCCTTCCTTCTCTGATATTTCTTTCCAATAAAGGCATCCACATCACATTTGTGCTCGTTCTAGGAGACATTTTTTACATATGCAAAATCTAGAAGATGCTGGCTATTTATTCATGGAGTTGAAGCAACTGTGCTTTTTCGAGCAATCTCTAACTGTCGAAATGAAATTATTATGCAGGAAGATGCCAGGAGGAAGTATGTTTTGATTCCGTTAGCATTATTGAGTCCGAGTCAGATGACGATTCCGGAAGTGTCTACGGAGGTAATGCTTATTGCTACCAATTCATTGTTTCTTTAGACTATGATTTTCGATGTTGGGTCGGATGGAAAAGCTTACACTTCTCTTTTGGTATCTCTTTTGCTGTTGCCTCCAGATGCATTTTCTTCATTGGGTAGTTCAGTAGGGAATATTTCAAATGCGCAAATGCTTCAGTATGAAAGTTCATGCTTCGTTGAGAACGGGTCTAAACATGAAACATTTTATGAAAGTTACAGCTGCAAGGGCCATAGAGATGGCTCAGTCAATTCGGGAGACGAAACTCAAGAGTGCCGAAAGAAATCGACCGTTATCATGCTTTCCGTGAAGCGAAAATCTTCCGAAGGTAATGAAACCACAGAATTTTGTAGAGTAAACCTCCCAATCAATATTGTTTGAACATTCTGATAAGAAAAATGATGCATTATTCATAAATATTTCTGAGTTATATAGCATTGGAACTTACTCAAAATCAAAAGAAAAACAAACAAATCACCTTTATTTCATGCCTTGATGACGTTGTGCTGCTTCTGCAAACTAATAGAGTTAATAGCAAGTGCAGCTGAGAGATACTTATACCGTCCAAGAGCCGGACTCGTAATTCCTTGCTCGGGAGAGAAACCGACGGTAGGAAGCTGGTCGGAGGTTTCACCTTCACTTTTTAAGCTCCGAGGCAAGAATTACTTTCGGTAAGCCACTTCACTGCTATTGCATTCCGCAATATATCATATCCTTCATACATGGAACTGAAGTTTGAACCTTGTGGTGCAGAGATAAACAGAAGTTACCAGCTCCAGATTGTAGTCCATACGTACCAATCGGTGTCGATTTATTCGTCTGCCCTCGGAAAGTGAATCACATTGCTCAGCACCTTGAACTACCGCATGTAAAGCCACACGAAAAAGTGCCTGCACTGCTAATTGTCAACATACAGGTTCTTCTTTCACTCTACCGTTCCGAAAAATGTCCCCTTTTCATCATTGAGGGGTACATTGCTTTAGATCAGTTTTCACTACATCTGTAAGTCGTTTGGTTTCCTTCTTGCAGGTTCCGACTTACCCGGCAAGTATGTTTCTTGGTGATGCCAATGGGGAAGGCTTGAGCCTTGTCTTATATTTTAAGATCTCAGATACTTTTGACAAAGATATATCCCCTCACTTCCAGGACGGCATAAAGGTATTTCCTTCATCAATTCTCTCATACACTTGAGTCCGTGTAACATAGAACTGAATCTATTCTTTCCACCTTTGTGTTTGTGCTTTGTTACAGAAATTTATTGAAGATGAAGTTGAAAAGGTCAAAGGGTTTGCAAAAGAGTCCACTGTTCCTTACAGAGAGAGGCTAAAAATTCTGGCCGGTTTAGTCAACCCGGATGAGCTTCAGTTAGGTACTACCGAAAAGAAACTTATTCAAGCTTATAACGATAAGCCAGTGCTTTCGCGCCCTCAACATAACTTTTATAAGGTAATCTATAGTTTTTCCAATTGCAGTGATGGAATTCAATTACATGCATTAAAACTATTCTAAGGCCCACTTTTACATCACTTCCTACAAGGGTTGTGGGAAAAAAAACTATTAAATTATTTGATTTACAATATAAATATTTAGTATGATGTTAAAAAGTATTTTTAAATCAACAAAATATTTATTTTAAATAATTTGTTCAAAAGTATTTTTGAGAAAAGTTTGAAATCAGTTCTTGTAAAGTACTTCTCAACCCAAATTTAAAAAAAATTTTAACCTGAAAAAATCTAAAAATAATTTTGAGAAGTAATGCAGAATCCGACCTAAATTACAAGTTTTTCATTTTTCTAAAAATATTCATGTCTATCACGTATCTAAATAGAAATATGGAAATGCAAACTTTCAAAGATCTTTTAAATGTATGACTCATGATCAAATTAATTATTTCTAGTGATGTGGGATATTATTCATAAATTCTTTAAGAATCAAAATAACCTAGCGCTTAACCTTTCATTTACTGTATAGGAAACTGAATTTGCACCCATTTTTACACCTTCCTGTATTGACTGTGTTGGTTATCGTCCAGGGATCAAATTACTTTGAGATCGACCTTGACATACACAGATTTAGCTACATATCTAGGAAAGGACTTGAATCATTTCTAGAAGAATGGAATCATTAATCTGGGTTTGACTATTCAGGTAAGTTCTCCCCATTTTTCTCTAATTTTCAAGAATCTAAACCCCGAGTTTTAGGAAATTATTTGATATATAGACCGTATAAAATTTAAGCTTCACGATCTTATTTATTTTAATTATAAACTTTTAATATTACACATGACATTCAAATAATCAAAATCGTGATGTCTAAATTTTACATGATATTTGTATAAAAATATTCCAATTAAAGGGGCGAAAATGCGAAGAAAATCATAAGGCTTTGTGTTTTATGGTAATGTTTGCAGGCACAAAAGGCAGAGGAGTTACCAGAGCAAGCTTTGTGCTGCTTGAGGTTGAACAAGATTGATTTTGTAAATCACGGCCAAATTCCTACCATTGTAACCGTTACAGATGATTAAATAGCAGATTTAAATTAAACGAAGGTGATTAATCTGTATCAGCATTATTTGCATTCATTTATATTGTTATTTCTGCCTTGTAACTTTTTATTTTATTTTTTTCAACTATCCACACCAGCCAAAAGCAATTACTAGAAATCGGAATAATTTTATATATAAAAAAAGAAAATTTAATATATTTCCAGCCTTTATAAACAAATAACATATTTAGTAAATAGACTAAATTTTATAATTTTATTTAAAATTGTTCTCAGATGAAAACGATTTTAATGAAGTCATATTGTACTGATACAAATTATTAATATTAGCATGAATTATTAACATCCTTAACTTATTATCTATGATAATATCTTCAAAAATGACAAACAAAATCATCAATTATTGAATTTCATACAATGTTATTATTAAACTGATAAATCAAATAATCTTAAAGAATGCACTAATTAGCAAAACTCTTCATTTAAAACCCATATGGAATTTCAGTAAAAATTGAACATTACCATATTTGATTAGGGCAATGAGAAATCGGAATTTATTTGGGGCCAATGTCCTTCAAAGCACAGATCTGCTCTTCACCCATTGCTGACATCACAGTTACAATCAGATCCTTCCCCTCTGCAAATCCAGTCTTTATCTGTATTCACATAATTCGATTGTGAATATCAGAACACTTGCGAATATAAAATTTTATGTTGGAGTTTATGAATTTAAGAAGTTATATTAAAAAATTTAAAGTAAGATTATAAAAGCTCAAGAATGCGAAATTAAATCATGAATAGAAAATATAAAAAAAAATACTTAAACTACATGAGAATTTAAGATATCGTAGATTTGAATCAATTTGAGAGATAGACAGAGATATCATTGGTCTTCTGAAACTAGCAGGCATTTGACAATCCATATGAGGTTGAATGAATTTATCAATTTCATTATAGCAAAGAAGAAAGAAGTATAAATGCCATTTAATATGCAAACTAACCTGTGTAAGCAGAGCATCATCAGTGGGAAGCCGAAGATCATCCTTAGTATTACCACTTTCAGTAAGCAAACTCACCTAAATCATTATCAAACATTACGCTCTGAAGAAGAAGAAAAAAACCATCCACAAAATTTAAAAAACAAATCAAACAAAAATGGTTTTACAAATCCATCCTCGGAGATATCAATCAGCTGGTAATCAGTACGATTGACATGAGGAATCTGTAAAATGGAACAAAAATCATAAACATTAGCCTCTGAAACCCAAAACATGACGCGTAATTCGAGCGGGAGAGAAGACTTACATCGCAGTTGTGAGATGAAGGAACGATATCTTCGACTTTTTTGCCGGAGAAGATATCGATTCCGATGAAATGACATTTCGCGTGCCCGTGTTTTCCGGTCTTGGAAGTCGAAACTTCCACAACCTACAGAAATTTAACAACAGCGAATCGAATATTATATCATTTAGCTAAACACTAATTATCCTTGAATTCAATAAGTTCTTAAATCGAGGATTATCCTCAGATCGACTAATTATGTAGAATTTTTTTATAACTACATTTCAAATTCTAGTGATCTGTATAATAAAGAGAATTTTACAGAGATCGAGAGCAGAAACTGAGACAAAAAGAAGGCAAATATACATAACAAAATTGAAATTTAAAACGAAAGATTTATGGATCAAAATCGTAACCTTGCAAGGACGACCTTTGATCACAATGTGGCCGTTCTTACGGACGGTGCCGGCCTGCTGAGGAAATGTTTTAGAAGCTCCCGCATCCGCTTTCGATTCAAAATGACGATCCTCATCGGACATGACGACCAAGCTTAAACAAATTCAGAAAGTTTTGGAGAACGGGAGAGATACCGATCAAAGCAAAACTTTGGAAGAGAGAAAGGAGAGTGAGTTAGTGTGCGTAACTGATGCTTTGCTTGAGATGTATCCACGTGGTATATTTTTCGATTCACTATCAATTCAAATAGATTTTTTTTAATATTTAGGGTAAATTACACAAATGATCCCCTGACTATAGAATATTTTTTGTTGAGTTCCAACTATTAAAAGTTATAAAATAATCCCCTGACTATAGGGAGTTGTTTTGTTGAGTTCCTCGACTATTAAAGTTACAAAATGGCCACCCAACTATTCATTATGTTCCAAACGGATCATTTCCGTTAAAAAATTAACGGTTGTTTGAGTTAGACGTTAACATGCTAACTGAGATAAAAAAAATTAATGATCACTCGACTATCATATATCAGTCAGCATATTAACGTCTAGCTTAGACGACCGTTAATTTTTTAACAGAAATTGATGAGTTTGTAACATAATAAATAGTCGAGTGACCATTGTATAATTTTTAATGGTCGATGGACTCAACAAAGTATCCTAATATTTATTATTTTTCTCCTTTAAACAAATCTTATATTAGAAATACATATTGATAAATGAATTTTATTATATATCAACAATTTTTCTATTCTAATAACTAAGTGGTATGGATATACTCTCCTTCAAGGTTAGAAGCTCGTCTTCTCTTTTATGCCTCCGTGTTATACAAGTTATATTAGTTTTGTCTGACTAGTTCAAATATTTTATTAAATCCCCTCAAGTGAAACGATATCATTTTAGGTTTTTTTTTAAGTTAAAAAAAAGTTACACTAAAACGGTATTATTTTGGTTTAACTGCCACATCATCTATCGTTAATCATATCATTGTGGCATTAGCGATTTAATGAAAAAAACGATGCATTAGCATCGTTGAATTAAATTAATAAATATTCAAATAGAATTTGAATATCGAGCAGGTAACGGGAATCGAACCCACATCGTTAGCTTGGAAGGCTAAGGGTTATAGTCGACATTGATTCATTATTTTTAGCGTTTCTAATTCAAAACCGAGCATGAAATTTTGGTTTCATTCGGGTCATTTACGAAAGATGGAGAAATTCAAAAAACAAGAAAAAAAAATAAGGCAAGAACGAAATGGAATAAGAATTCGGCCCATAACATCTATGTTAACTTTTCTGTCCGAATGCAATCAAAACAATTTCGCTTTCTAGATGATCCTTCTAGAAGAGTGGGATTAGAATGGAACAATTTTTAATTAAAACAAAAATCAAAATTTAATATTAAAATTAATTAAATTAAAAATCCAATAATATAAAAGAATCAACGCTCAAAGTTTGATGGTATCTGAAGTAATTTTCTTTAAATTATATTTTGACCAAATCGAACAAGCCATCTATAATTCATCAACGTGTATAATTTGAAAAGACCAAATTAATAAAACAATAAACATTAGAGATAAAATTATCCAAAATGTAACGTTAACTGACAAGCTTTTTTAGAAAAAAAAAATCTAAAATTGATTACGAGGTAGTATATGTTCAAAATTTTCTTAACCGTTCATACACCTACAGATGTAACTGCTCAAACATATAATCTTTAAAGAAAAAAAACATTTTTTTTACCACCGAGATCATTTGATAATGCCGTGAAACCAAATAAAAAGTCGTATCATTTTAAAATTTTACATTATGATATAACATTTTCGTAATCAAACACACCTAAAATTTAGAGAATACAACGAGGGTAAACGAAACCGTGAAAGGGATATGTAAGATATAGGAAAGAAGATGAGGGCAAACGAGAAAATGGCCTCAAATTAAAATTCCATATATACAAACAAGTGTAAAGTTGCAGTGCTACCTAAAGCTTCAATCCAAACAACAAAATATCAGAAAAGATAATTCAGGAATATGTGTTTACTCATCTGGAACGTAGAAATCGAACCTGACATCAACAGAACCAGACCGATCTCCCGTGTTTTTGTACTCGATATTTGTTATCGTCCCAACGTCATCTTCCTCTTGGTATTCTGCCTTCACCCGCCGAACAGGCACCGTGACGGAGTAAATGGTTCCCAGATCAGAATCGGTAGAGACACTAAGCTGAACCTTGTCCTTAGACTCTATCTCGACAAAATCCGACAGAGCGTGCACAATGTTTTTGACGATTTTCTGTTTCGCCTCATCGCTAACTGCACAGCGATCAGAGAACAGGATCATCTTCAAACGCTGCTTCCCTATATTTGCATTAGAGCTCCTTCTAGTTGCCGGAGACGGGAACACTATTTTCCGAGCCAAGTTAAGTCGCTCGAAGAAGCTCATGTTTACGGCATGTAAGAGGAAGCTCTCAACATCTTCCCGGACAGCATTGGGAGATAACTTTAAATCTCCCATGATCCCTGCTGATCTTTTAGTTTGGCCACCAATGCTTCGACTATTTATCGCCAATCCCTTCCATTTTGGTGTGATTTCGAGATACCTTGATCCTCCATTCATGGAACACACGGAATCAACCTATAATAGAGCACCAAAATTAAAACAAAAAGACCAGAGAATTCGCACTTTTCTATAGCTATTACACACAAGTAGAACATCAATTAATCACTAACAAATGGTGCTCTGTACAAAACAATGAACTATTGTACCGAACAATTAATAAACAAAGCGAATGCCCAATAGCTATGCAAAAAATAACAAATGCCACTGCACCTACAGAACTAGCTGGAATGAAAGAGCTAAAGAGCTCAGCAATATGGTAGAAAACTTGAGATGATAATCTGGTTAAACATAATCCAACATAAAATCATCGCCGGTACCACACCAACGTGTTTCCCACAGTGCTATCACACACTAGAGTTGAAGACATTATCACCCAATGTGACATTGTAACCTACAAGCAATCACAATGCATCTTCTTTTCGTTCCTAATCACCCTAATCAGTAAAATGTAGGAGGTTAAAAGATTATGAATTTATGATGAACAAGCAAGGGTACGACTTATTCGAAACACCAAACTCATCAAGCTCGGATCTTCGGTCGATGTCTTTTTTCCCTTACTTGTAATTGCCAGGCATCATATTCGGAATAAGATTCCAAATCCATACCAACAAGTAACAGGTTCTAAAATGTACATACATGCTTAAATTTGACTCTACATGCAATTTGACAAAGATCAGTCCACGGCCATGATTCTTTGACTATTTCTTGGTGGTTAAACCTTTCAGGAATTAAAATGCAGCCCTTTAATAACAAAATGCGATTGAAATTTAAGAATATGAACCCAATAAGGCTAATATTGAAAAGACTAACGGATCTAAAACAATTATATGAAATATTAGGGTAGCAAAACCCAGAAAACATTTTCCCGGAATTGCAAAACCGAGCGCCGGTAAGGGTTTGCTAACCATCATTGTTGCTTCAAATCAGGAAAACCCAATTAGCTCTTGCTCTGATTACTGCAAAAGAACACCTAAAAGACTAGGAGTTCAAACGAATCAGAACAGCATCTCCAACAATAACCCTAAAAAATAAAGTGAATTACCAAACTTAGCAATTCCATCAAGAAAACCCAGACACTAAATTGAGCAAGCAGATGATAAATTACACAAATATTTCACATTCAATGAAAATAAAAAGTTCAACAAAAACTTGGAGGTGAGATGAGAGGGAATGAAGACAGTGACCTTTGAAGATGGGACGTAGCTTCGAAAGGGGTGTTGATGGTAGGAAGCAAGAGTAGCATCCACACGTAAATTCCCCGATACCGCCATTTTTTAGTCAGCTCGAATTTCTCTTAGTCTCTTACGAGCTCGTTTGCTCACTATGACTGTTCTTTTGCCCTTGGTCGATTGGTTTTAACAATTTTATTAAAATTTGAATTTGGAAAAAAAAAGAACATGAGTTACTAGTACTTAAAAAAAACAATGTGGTCTAGTTATTTTTTACACTTAATATGATTTTCAAATTTAGAAAATAAATCTATTTGATCAAATGTTTCCATTGTTAATCATTACGGTACTGATATAGTAATTTATGATAATTGATGATGTGACAAATGAACTAAAATTAATTTTTTTTTTCGAGTTTTGTGGTCAAATTGATTTTTTTTAAAAGTTCAAGAGCTTATTTTATATTTTAAATTTAAACTATACAAATATAAAAATTTGATTCCTTTGAAAAGTTGGATAATTTGGATTATAGATGATATGCTAAAACTGAAGGTAAAAAGGATATAAAATGTTTAAAGATCATGATGAAAAAAATGAGAGAACTTGTATAAATCGACTAGAAACAATTAAAAACATAAAGTTAATATCAATTCATTTGTTCGAGTCATTTTTATTTAATTATTGATTGGATATTAATTTATTTGACATTATTATTATAATTAAAAAATTAAGTATTTATATGTATTTAAATTTATTATTTTTAACTTAAAAGTTGAGATTTAAAATTAATTTAAGTATCATAATTAAAAAAATATTCCCGAGCAAGTATATTTGATCGAGTGGTCAAGTTACTCTTTTTTGTTCTTCATATTTCCTTAGTAATTTATTTTTAATTTTTTTTAAATATATATATATATATTAGTAATTTAATTTTTTTTTTTTATATTTAAAATTTTCTATATTTGTATAGTTTAAATTTAAAATTTAAAATCTAAAGAAAAATCAAATAAGCCCTTGAACTTAAAAAAAACCAATTTGACCCTCGAATTCGATAAAAAAAATTAATTTAGCCCATCTGCCATGTCACCAACCACGGTGGGCTGCCACATCAACACCATAAAATATCACGTCAGTACCGTAATGGTTAACGATGGAAACTATTGATAAAATGATTACATTGAGTTTATTTTTAAAGTTTGAGGACCACATTGGTGAAAAAACTAACAAAGCCCACATTTATTTTAAGAAAAAAAATTATGAGGCCTCACCTTTTGCCTTGAAGTTTTAATTAGTTTATGAACGTTATATATATATATATATATAAATAAGTAATTAAATATTTTTATTAAAAATAGGTAAATTGTGCTAATAGTTCCTTTTGTTTAGGGTCTAATCGACTTTGGTCACTAATTTAAAAATTAAGCGTAAATGGTCCCTCACATTATCGGTATGTCCAATTTAAGTCCCTCAGCTATTAATTTTCGTTAACTCCCTTTTGTTTAAGCCTCTTTTGTTGAAGTCCCTAGCATGGCTGACGGATTATAATCGAACGGGAGTTAATGACTGAGGGACTAAAATTGAACGGATCGATAATGTTAGGGAATCAAATCGAATGGATCGATAACGTTAGGGATCATTTCCCCTTAATTTTTAAATTAGTGAACAAATTCAGTCAGAGTGAAAACATAAGGGATTATTCGTATAGTTTACCCAAAAAATACTAATCTAATTTTATTCAAAAATAGGAAATATCCTAAATCACAATAAAAAATTACTATCATAATCGTAAATTAAATACATAATTAGTACAAATTCCTATAATTATTGCAACAAAACTATAAACTTAAGATCACATAAGGACCATACAATGAAAGATTAAAATCTAACCAAGAAAACTCAAACAAAGATAGATCTAAGCAAATATGATCACATCAACAAACGAACCACAAAAGGAGATCAAGCTATTGAAAGACCACTGACAAACCGCAAATCAGACTTAAGCGACGTGAAAAGTTATCCACAAACACATAACGGGTATCCAAATCCAATCTGAGGGTCCAAAGCACGGTAAATCAATAATATAACATATAAATATCATCTTTATCAGTCATGACGATGTCTAGTCAACCCTTAGAAAAAGATAAGTGAAAACAACAGTCAAACGGCCGAAAAACATGACATAAAAGCAAATGAAAATGTGTCGTGCAGACATAATTATTGAAAATAAAAAATAAAAGAAAATAAAAAGACAATAAAAAATACTGACAGTCGACGACCAACATAAAAATTGGTGCCGTCGCAGGTCAACAAAGACAAAAAAAGAAGAAGATAAGAACGTCTTATCAATGAGAGAAAATTAGGAGAAAAAGAGATTAGTAATTGAAATTTTAATTATACATGTTATAAATATTAACTAAAAAATTATTTTAAAAAACGATTAATATAATTATATTATTGACAAGAAAATAAAATCGTTGAACAAATGTGCAAATTAATCTTTCAGAGGGACATTGTACTTGTACCATATTTTCAGATAAATGTATCGTATTATAATTGTTAAACAAGAGCAAAGTTAATCTATAGAAGTATTTGATAATCTTTTTCGAAATTTATACTCATGTTTAGATTAAATAAAATAATATTATATTCCCAATAATAATATTTCTACGGGTAGATATAGGAATATAATTTCCTTTAATTTCTTAGGTATTATATAATTTTTATCATTTGGACACTAATGCACCATTAGAGATTTATTTTACTTAGATTTTGGACAATAATTCCATTTAATTTCTTATGTATTATTAAATATATTTAATTTTTCAAATATTTTTATGTATTTAAAAGGTTCTTGGATGATCATATCACCATGAGTTGAACACCGCCAAAGGTAGGCAGTGACCTTGGCATCCAGAAAAAGGTAAATCTGAACTTTAATCCCTTTAAAAATTAAGAAATTATAACTTAATACAATAAGAAAATTACATTTTGATCCCTAACGGTCAATAAATAATTATGAACCATGCCACGTGAGTTCATAAAATTGTTTGCATTTTTAATAAAATGAGGCAATAATTTAGGAGTTAATGCTAGGCTGACGTCCAGACACTTAACCATTACTTATAGTAAAATAATATATTTTTAAAAGGCCTGATATTTTTCAAAAATGTATTTTTTGGTCCACCACCAGGGATGATGTAGCTAATTCTTATCATGGAAATAAAATGACTTCATTCCCAAATAAAACAAATAAATTGGACACATCATGGATGGTGAGATAAGCCTAAATATGACTCTGTACTTGTATTGCTTTCATATAATTTAAATATTTTTGTATTATTTATTAATAATATAATTTTATTTTCTTTAAAATTTTATAATCGCATATCTCTATACTTTTAATATAATTTTTTAAAATTTCTCGCTTTCGACCTAAAATATTATAGACCCAAATAGGCGGAAACTCTGAGTTAACAGTAGATAGTGTTAATAATATCTCCATCTGTTAAAACTTGTGGTGGTTCCAGTCATAAGAGTTGAAACCATTAAGTAATATAGGCTCGAATGGTACCGAAACAGGCCCTAAATTGCTCGGTCTCGAAGAGCTCCCACTCGACAAAACTATAAAATAGAACAGAAAAGCCCAATGCCTTTGATGTGTTTACGTACGTGGGTTGTACATATACTCTGTATCATTAAATTATAATTAAATTATCTTTATGAGTAATAAGATTTTTAAATATTGTAAAATAACTATTGAATTTATTAAATTATTATAAAATGATTTTAATACACTATATATAAAAATAAATTATGATAAGTTTAAAATATTATAATAAATTAAATTATTAGTACATAAATTTAGGAGGGTGGAAGATGACACAAATCTTTTTCCTACTGACTTTATCGGAAAAGCCGGGGAAAAGTAAACATGATGTTCTGTAAATTATGAAGCTCATCTCCTCGGAATTCGTGGAAAACAAAATCATTGATTTCCTTACTACCTCTTGTGTAGGGTTGGAAAAAGTAACGACGTTCGTTTAGTTAAAATAGTGGCCGACCTAATTTAATTACTATTAATTGAATTAATCAAATTTATTAACTGTTAATCGAATTAATTTTTTTAAAAATATTAATCAAACTGAATAAATTTCAGTTAATTCGGTTAATTTTTGAATTAATCGAATTTTTTTTAATTTTTCTAATTTATATAAAAATTGAATATTTTTTAATTCAAAAAAAATTACAATTAATTTAAATAATATATAATTATAAAATAAAAATTTTATATGAATTTTTAATTAGTTAATATTAATTTAAGTTTAAAAATTATTGGATCTTAAATTATTAATTGGGTTTTAGATGGTTTGGGCTTGAGTCCATATGTTATATGTAATATATTTAATATTTAAAATTTAATTTCGGTTAATTAACCGATTTCGAACCGAATTAACCGTTAACTGAATTCTTAAAATTTTATTAACCGTTCCCCGATCGAATTAATTTGGTGGCTGACCGAATTAACCGAACTAATTCGATTCGGTCGATTAATTCGGTTAAAACCGAAAAATGAACACCCCTAGGAAAAAATGTAGATTGGTCGGGATATTTCCAGTACAACATCTTTAATATACGATTAAGGAAATACATTATTAGAAATATTATTTTTTAAAAGTTTTTGGTAAAGTGTTATCTAAAATATTATTTTTTTTTCTATGTAAAATGTTAATAATGATCGCTACCTAAAATATTTAACATTTTCAGTAAAACACTATCTAAAACATTATTTTTTCTATCGAAAATATTAATATAGGGTTCTACTGGAAATTAGTTAGCGAAATTAAAATTTTCGATAAAAATAATGTTCTAGGTAACGCTTTACCGGAAATGTTAAAAAAATTAATATTTTCGATAAAATATTTCATTAACCGTATATTAAGGTTACCGTACAACAAAACTACCCAGGTCGATCGGGTTCGAATTGACTTGCTTTTATGGAATCAATTTTTCTAAACCATCTTTAATTTGTTACATATATATAACTTCTATTATATTTTTAAGTAGTTTGAAAATATATATGTTTAGATAGACTTTTAATTTTTTTATTAAAATTTAAAGTAAATTTAATTCTAATAATTATTTAAAATACCAGTAATATAATTTTTAATTCTAGAATAAAATTTAAAAAATAATCATGTATGCACGAACCAATCAATCTTAGTGATTAAAGAGATAATTATCATTCTTATAGGTTTAAAGTTTGAGCACGGCCTGTGTAGAGGTGTTTGAACGTTTGTTGTCAAATAATTGATAATATTACGAATATATACTGCCTTATATTCAACTAATAAAAATAAATATGTATAGTTAACTTTTATTTAAATTAACAAATAAACAAATGAGATACACCACATCATAAGGTAGTATGTAATTTTGATTGCAATATGGTATAAATAGACTATAAATCATGATACATAATATAAATAAAATATAAATATTTAAACGTATTAAAATCTTTATAAAATAAATTATTGTGTCAAATTTATAATAACTTAAATTCGATTGGAATACTTTAAAAAATAAAATACAGTATATATGGCACTAAGTTTATAGCCTTTAGGAAAAATGATTTCAGCTTATCAATCTCAATTTTAAAATTGTTTTATTTTATATACGTCTAGGGTAATATCATTTTAAAGACTCTCAACCAATTAACTATGGACGGTCAGACCCGGTCGGTGCTCAAACCCATGGCTTCGGGAGTAAATACACCAATGACTGTCATTTAAATTTTAGGATAAACTATAAGTTTAGTACCTAAATTTTGTTTCAAAATCATACCTAATATTTAGCTTAGGTTTCCATTTGGTACTATGTAGCTAAAAAATTAAAAGAATTGATGTTGTATATTTTTTTTTTCAATGATCGTTTTACATTACATTATGATGACACATCAACATCATATTAAGTTTTCAACGACAGTGTATCAAAATGAAATCTAAACTAAACATTAGGTATGATTTTGAAAAAAAAAATAAAGTTTGGATACCAAAATGAACTAAAAGTAATAGCTTAGGTACAAAACATGTATTCTACCCTAAATTTTACCAAGATTAATTTTACCCGTCTAAACAAAACTCTAAGAATGGATAAACTATCTTTGACCCCCTGAAATTCTTCAAATATCCATTCAATCATTTTAATCCTTGAAATAAATATGAAAAATGATAGATGGTTTAAATTTTAGTAAAATTGAACATTTTGTCCTCACTGTTTTTTAAATTAAATACATAATAAGTCTATATTATTTTAAATTTAAAAACTTTACTCGTCCCAATATTTGATCCTAGCTTCGCCACCGAAACATAATGAAAACTATAAATTATCATCATAATAAAAAAACAACAGGAAAAGTTTGAGGGACTAGATAATGAATAAAACTTTTCATATGATCTGTTGAAAAGCTGATAAGGAGACGGGCCACATTTATCTCATCCGATCTTCTTGAATTGTCATGGCGACTACATCTTGAACCCACCAAGTAATAATTGGTTGGGAGAAAGAGAAAATAAAATGTATGCAACTTTGAATTACTTCTTGCCTAATTGATACCTCATATTAATAAAATCACAATTTAACACTAATTAATGCATGCATTGTCAATTATTTAATAATCTAATTAACGTCCTCGTTTACATAGAAATTAATTTTTATACTATTAATTTCCTCCATAATAAAATAAAAATTAATTTTTAATAAGCTTTAAGCTAAACCCTTGATATAAAATAATTTTTATATTAAATGCTTAAATTTGAGTCAAAATTTTGATATTTAAAGAAACTATTGTTATCTTTTGAAATTCTGAATTTGAGCACAACGTCTGCACCTACAGGGTCACACACTAGGATTGAAACGAGCAAAGATGTACAATTTGTTGTACGTTACTAAAATATATATAGAGTTAATTAAGTATATATTTTAATAATCTTGAATATTTAATTTCAATTAATTAAATATAGATTTAATTAATTTGAGTTTATTTATTAAATTAAACAAATATGTGTAAATAAAAAATATTTATTTATTAAATAAATAAATTTAAACAAATATATGTTCAAGCCATTGATCTTACAGATTAATTTTTTATAATATTCATTTATTAATTGTTATAAAAACTCATATCTTTACATATCATTCAAAAACTCACTTTCTTAAAAAAGAAAACAAAATAAAAGGGAAATGAAAGAAAGTAGGTTAAGACATTTGGTATTTTTATATCGAATATTTATTATTATTTTTATGGTACTATTTTTTGGGTACAACTACATGTGTATTTATCAAAAAATTAATTTGGATTGGGAACTATAGATGCCTATTATGGAACAACTCTCTCACTATAATTTGCTTTATTTATGACGTCAAATTTCAAATTTTTAACTTTATTTAAAAAATCTAATGTATTATCTCGTTAAATCAACTGATTGTAAGTTTTATATTACTCATTTTAATGTTGGTTAAAATACTTAAAATAATATAATAGTTCTTGAATTTTGTTTCTTATTATATCTAAACAAATCTATAATTTATAATATTTAAATTTAAAAATTTATTATTTTTCTAACATTATATCATATACGATATTTTAAATATTATTGACATTCTTCAATATGACAACGTAGTTATATTTGGAACCACTTACATAAAAATGAAGAAAAAAACCTACGAAATATTCAAAATTTATTTATTTTTAAATAAATAAATTGTTTGTTTGTAAACATTCTAAGAAATGACCGACTTTTCTCTCTCTCTCTTCTTCTTGGCCACATGATCCCATGATAATCTCAAACAGAAGCCACGTCTTAGGTTTTTAGATTTGACAGCCCTTCACCCTTGTTTTTGGTAAAATTTATAATTAGTCCTTGTAGTATGTGGAAGATAATGATTTAATCTTTGTACACTAAGTTAGTAAATTATAATCTTTATACTTTTAAAATTTTAGACTATACCCAAACAATACAAATATAATGTAGTTAAAAATATCAAATCGAAGAACAATAAATGAATATATAACTTATGAACACACATAGTACATGTACTAATATAGCAGGACCTCACCTTATAAAAGATATTTTATTGAGAGAAAGTAATTTTTAATCTTTGAACTCGTCAAAATTTCTCAATCTGGTATTTAAATTTTTTAGCCCACATTGACCCTTAAACTTAAAATTTATTTTTCTTTTATCATTTTGGTAAGTGAAGGTTTGAGATTGTGCAACGTATCACAATATCAGAGTGTTATATCATCAAAAGAACTGAGAATATGAAAAGTTTTCAAACTGAAGGACTAAAGTGTACCAAAAAAAGTTGAGGGATCAAAATGGGAAGAGTTTCCAAGTTCAGGGACTAAAAGTTGCTTTATCCCTTTTATCAATAAACAGCCTTTGTTTGATGGTAAAGTAGAACAGAGGATCGACCAATCAAATTCAACATAAACAACGTCAGTAGGCGAAAAAAAATAAATAAATAAGAGCTAAATTTTGTAGTTATGTCTGATTGTGATTAATCAAACTGTTTTCTCTCTCTTAAACCTCAAGAAAACTCATCATTCACACAGTATCAGAGGGCCCCACCTATTGTCTGTTGTATTAATTAACTATCACCCAGGTAAACACCGATTAAAAATGCAAATTATCTCCAAAAAATACCCTAAAAATTGGATATTTTAAACTTTAATAAATTAGGGGGTTTATATTATAATGGAGGTTAAATATCTGTACCAAAAAGCAAGGAAGGTGGAGAGAATCTAGAAATGCTCATTTATTTTATAGTTCCTCAAAAAACCCAAAGGGGAGAGAAAATTATATAAAAAAATGTATAGAAATGAAGGAAATGTGAGAGAAAGATGTGAAGAAGAGCAAACAGAGAATAAAAAAAAAGGAGAAAGACCAGATGTTGACAAATTTAATGTCACTGCTCTTAGAAGATCGTTCGTTTCCTGAGAATATTTCTTCACCTGGGATCTCCATCTTTCTCTCTCTAACTCCATCCCAAAGCAATAAACTCCTCCATATATATTTCCCTTTTTCTTCTCAATATTCTCTCTCTAGAAGCAAAAATAAATATTAGAATTTTAACAAGATTATTTCTTTCTCTTTCGTCCCGATGACGATCTATAGTGTTAACAAAGCACCCACTTTGTTGTTTTAGCTGTATTGTCTTTTTATTACTATATTTTTGTTGTTTTAAAGCTTTAATCTTTTGTTGATATTCCGGGTAGTTTTGGGAGCTTTTGAATTTATCTATGATGGGGAAGTGTTCAAGCTAAATCCATGGGAGAATCTCGAATGAATTTTGATTAGAGGATGTGGGTCTGAGGTAAAATTTTGTTCCTTTTTCACTTTCTGGTAATTTGACTTATATATATATATATATATAATTTATTATCTTATGATTTTGTTAATTGGGTTTTCTTTATTTTCTTTAATTATTCATTACTTTTTCCTCTTTTTTGGCTAGTCTGATAAATTGTGGGGGTTATAATGGCTTTGCAATTGAGTTAATTAAGCCTAAATCTCAACTTTATTTATATTTTGAATTTTTGGATTTTGGTTGATGATTATTTTGATTGGATGGATGATCTCAGCTTTTGTAATGATATGTTCATCTGTTAATATTTGCTTAATTTCTGTATTAGTTATGTTGGATCTTTTGCCTTATTGATCATAGGATCCCTAACTTCCCTTCTTTATCAGTATCCGTTTCTGCAAAATTTTGCCTTTATATGGGAAGTTATAACATATAGGAAGTGTTGTGGTGATTAATTGATACTGTTGTTGCTTACATTATACTTGTATAAATCTTAGTGTATGTGTATGCTTTTGGTTGCATTGCTTATGGACTTATACGATCACGACTTATTTCATCGAGCTTCGATTGCTGTAATTGCATGCATCATATGAAATTGCAGATATCATCAATGAGGGTGTTTTCTTTAATACTATGATTCTTGGTACGAAGGTGAAACTCTGCAATTTTAGGTGGATTGTGCTCTTTATACTTGTGATAGTTTAAGGTAATCCCGATTGGCTGTTGAATTCACTCGTCTACTGGGAACCTAGGCCTTCAACTATATCGGATATTAGGCTTGGTTTAATGTTGGTAGTCGTTTTTGGGTAGAGCAAAAATGACTCCATAACTGATTACTCCATTCTAATGGTTATTGCTTTTAATGTTCATGGAGTCTGGCAACAATAGGGTTCTATTCTCCTTGTTATGTCATTCTGGTCTTGTTTATTGATTTCAGGAATGGGAACAAAAGTTCAGTTGAAAAGCTGTTTGCCCGGATATTTTTCAATGAGGGATCTCAACGAGGATTCAAATAGTTGTAGCTGGCCACATTATTATGAGGATAAAACCTTGACAAATGGTCAGCATTACAATGGCTTTTTCTCGAGGAATGTCGATGCATATCTCGGGCATGATAAGGACACATTGAAGAGAATAATGTTCAAGCACGAGGATATTTTTAAGAATCAGGTAATAAGATCTTTGCTGTTTTTGTGCCTTTATATATGGTCTTCACCTGCATGTTTGAATGGAGTTGAGTCACTGAATGTTGCTTGTTTATATAATAGACTTTGTTTCGAAGATATTTAAATATCTAAGTTCTTTTTATTCCTCTAGGTGTCTGAGCTTCACCGCTTGTACAGAATACAAAGGGAGTTGATGGATGAATTTAAAAAGAAAGATTTACAAAACAATCGGATTCCTATTGAGCCATCGTTATCATCAAGCCTGTTAGCGTCGCAAATTACAACCGAAGAGGCTAACAAATGGCATATCCCTAGCTTCCCGGTGGCAAACTCTCTTAATGGTCTACCATCAGTTTCTGCTGTTGAAGATACTTATTCTCGCCTTAGTTCAGTGAAGGGAAGTAGCAACCGAGCCGATCCCTTAACCCGGAATGGAGGTAACATAAAGGATGCTGAGGTGTTGGACTGCAGACCCACAAAAGTAAGAAGGAAAATGTTTGATCTTGAACTTCCAGCAGACGAGTACATTGACACTGAAGAAGCAGAACAGTTCAGAGATGACACAGCATCTGGCACGTCAAGTTATCTTCTGAATGGAAATGGGAAAATCAGGCCTGCGGGTGGTGGAAAGCCATTTCATGCAGGGAAGACTGATTGCCTCGAAGATGCTTCAAAGTCCAATTCATGCTTGAGGGGTAAAAATAGTTTGGCTGACTTGAATGAGCCTGCTCAGATCGAAGAAACTGATGGTTCTGCATTTTCACACTTTCTAGGCCATGAACTGTCTGCTAAGCTGAAGCAAGAGCTTCCTTGTTTTCCAAAAGACATTTCTGTGAATTCTCTTCGCGAAAGTGAGAAGAAGTCTGTAAGTAATGTACATGTTGAAAAAAACGGAACCGTGAGACGATTCTTCTGTGACGTGCTTGAAGCAGGTAATACTCACTTGTGAACTACTGAACTTAAAAAATCACTGATTGCCCTTCCTATCATAATGTTACATGTATTTATGATTATTCTTGTGTGGTTGTTATCTCCGTTTTCAGGGCACAGTGCAAGCAACTCAAAGTTGATTTCTAAAGGTTTTCAGCAACAGAAGTCGCCTGTATCTTCTCAGCAGGTACAGGTTCCTTATGAAAAAACTCCTGATCCTCGAACATTTTGGGCAATCGATCAAAGCAAGGCCGATCTCTCAAAAGAAATAATACTCCGAGGTTTAGAAGTTCCCAAAAGAAATGGTGAAATCTTTAATAACAGTCATCCCGAGTCGATTGTCATGTCTAATGTACGTAATTTGAATCCATTTGCTTCTTCTGAAGTCATAAAGCCGTGGTCTCATTCGGTTACTTATTGGGACAAGCCTTGCAGTAGCTTAAGCGAGAAGTCAATGACAGTTCCAACTCACCCATTTTTGAATTCACCTGGTCCTTCAAGTAAGAGTTCTGTGATGTCGTCTCCGAGCATTGGGATTTTCGGAGAGAAGTGGCAGATGAGTAGCAATTCTAGACTTAATCCAAGTTTCGGAAGTGAATTTTCCAATCGAAATGGTTTTTATTATGGTTCCTCATCGGTGTCCAAGGAATCTGCAGTTCGCTTCCCATCAGTGAGTTATGATAGTAAGGGGGTCTCTGAGCACTTCCCTTCTCATGGTTCAACTAAGCCTTACGGCTGTTCAACTAGCGGTGATATGAAGTCAACAAGTGTTGTAAATTTGAATGTCGTGCTTTCAAACAGGGCATCAGATGAGCCGGTTTTGCAATGCGGTACTCGAATAGATGGAGGAAGAAACCGTGAAGATCATCTCCGAGGGCTACCGTGGCTACAAACCATGCCTTTTTGTAAGAATGATGCCACAAGTGCTGGCAATGATTTCAATCAAAATGTTACACAGGATGTGAAGTCGGTTTCATTCTCCAATAATGTTGACACCAGCAGGAGTGAACATCTGCACAACGAAAAGATACTCGGGATCCCCATTTTCGAAAAGCCTTTTGTTTCTAAGAACGAATCTTCTTTGACTGCACCGCACACATCTGTTCCTCGATTTGCCGAAGTTGAAGCAGAAAATAAAGGAAGGAATAGGTTACTTGATATTAACTTACCTTGTGATGCAACTCTTCTGGACATGAACCAAGACATTGTTGCAGAGAATTCAGCCATAGAGAAGGAAACAAATACAAAGGTCTCAAGTTTCCGACTTCAGTTGGACTTGAACTCCTGTGTTGACGAGGATGAAGCTTCTTTTACACCCTCCGTTCCGAGCACCGGTACGAAGACAACTCCAGGGATAGATTTGGAAGCACCATTAATTTCGGACCCTGAAGATGTCATTCGTGGCGAAGAATTATTGGAAAAGGCATCTGAACCATCTTTGCAGTCAAAACAAAGTAAAGATCACTTTGTGCAGGATGAACTTGCAAAGATTGCAGCTGAGGCAATAGTTGCCATCTCATCATCTTGCCGGGACAGTAATTCGGATGATGTTGATTGCAATTCATCTGAAAACACTATGACAGACCCCCTAAATTGGTTTGTTGAGACAATTTCCTCTTTTGGAGAAGATCTCGAGAGGAAGTTCGAGGCTCTTACTAGCGGTAAAGATAGAGATCGAGATGAATCTTCCTTAGAAGAGATTGATTATTTTGAATCAATGGTTTTGAACTTAGCAGAAACCCGGGAAGAGGATTATATGCCTGAGCCTCTGGTACCTGAAAACTTCAGAGTAGAAGAAACAGGAGCTACATCTTTGTTAACGACTCGAGCACGAAGGGGACAGAGAAGGCGAGGAAGGCAGCAGAGGGACTTTCAAAGGGACATCCTTCCAGGCCTTGTTTCCCTATCAAGGTATGAGGTTACGGAAGATCTTCAGACATTTGGAGGACTTATGAGAGCAACCGGTTATTCATGGAACTCTACCAGAGCCGGGTGTGGCCGGGGGAGGCGACGGTCGGTAACTAGTTCCTCTACTCTAGTAGCTGCCACAACTTGCATGTCATTGACACAGGAGCTTAATAACATTGAAGTGGGGCTGGAGGATCGAAGCCTTACTGGATGGGGGAAGACAACTAGGCGGCCACGCAGGCAACGATGTCCAACGGGTAATCCTCCATCTATTGCATTAACCTAAGAAAAAAGAATTTGAGGCTTTATTCATCGAGATTGCTATAGAGAAAACTAGGTCATTATTGTTCATCTGCTTTGAGATTTCCTCTTAGCCTGAAATTAGGCAATACTTGATTTTCTGTCTTGGGGTGATTAAGAACAACTTGCATTACCCATAAATAATGTTGCATTATTTCTTCCAAGACATATAGGACAAACATGCCTTCAGTTTTGCCAATATAGTGAAACCACAAGAGCTTTTCTTGTGTCATTGCGGCTGTTTTGAACGGCGCCAAGTGTTTGTGGTTTGTTTGGTCTGGTTAATCACTAATCTACGTTCCTAGGATTCGGTTGTAAGTGTCGTCGGATATGGATGAGTGTCCAATATTGGTATGTTCAGTTTTGTTCAGGTTCTTTCATGTGTTTGGAGGATCTTTTCAGGGTCATATATCCATACTCATGTTCGGATACGCATTCATCGAATACGAGCATCGGTTCCTCCAACAGATATATAAATGTTAAAGATTTTCGAAACATTTTTCGGACAAAAGGGTAAATATCCCAGAAAGAATTTCGAATAACAGCTGAGAAAATATGGGAAAATTGTTTGTTTCATGAGAAAGTTGCAAAAGAAGAATGGAAAATTTGTGTGGTTCATGACAAAAGGTAAATATCCATTCAAAATTATGTGATTGAATTGGTACTAGGATTTTTTTTCTTCAAATTTTTGTAAATTATAAAAATAACAAAAAGGAGAATAAGAAAGTGAGAAGCACGGAGAGAAAGAGAGCGTGGAGAAGGATTGATAAGATGAAGGATTTCGTATGCAGCAGAAAAGGAGGTGTCCGAGTCCGAGTTGATTCGTAGTACAATATATCTCCCGATGGTCGTTAGTCAAATGCCCCATCGCTTTTAGATTCTCTCTTGCCCAATCACCATTCACTTTCCACTTTTCAATGTCGAGTCCCCCGTCTTATTTTATTTCTCCTTTTGAGGCTTGCTTAATTTTTCATTTGCACATTGATCCTCCATCTTTTATTTATCTATATGATAGCGCTCCATTCAAATAACTAATTAATGATAAAAATATATTAATATTAATATATACTACAATTAAATAAACTAGTTTAACTCCTTTAATAATTAAAAGTTTTAAATTAATACACCGCTTAAATATATTTTGGCCCCTCTAAAAGGGTTAAACTTCAGTTCAATCCTTTCAAAAAATTTAAAAGTGTAATAAGCTAAAGCAATGCTAAAACTACAATTTGACTAGAAATATAAAATTCAATTTCGACCCTCCAGGAAGTTTTGTGATTTCACCCCTAAGAAGGTTAAAATTTGACCTTTTTCTAAATATAGTTTTATATAAAAATATATTATTTGAATTAATCATCGGTATCCGATCTATTGATATATTAATTCAGTTGATCGAATCTAAATTTTTTAAGAATAATCATATTTTATTTTACCATTGAGGTGACCTGATAAGTTTGTAATTTTTTAAAGATAATTTAGATACCGTATAAAAGAATTTAATAAAATTAAATTAAATTAAATTATAAATAAAAATAAAAATATATAGATAAGAAACCTACCTCTTGGAATTACTTCAAAAATCAACTAACGAATCAATAACTGAGGAAACCAAACCGTACGACAAAAAATGGCGGGTGCGTTTAACTACAAAGCTTAAACGTTAAATAACAATGGTGACAAAACTTCTCGCTTTCTTTCACAGGCGAGTTTCTCGTCCTCTTACTAGGAGGGAGCCTTACTTTCAATGGAGATCTCTTTCTTACACTATTGACCGCCCTTCTGAATACCCTTCGTCTTCGAGCCATTCTTTTGCATCAGTGCTCTCGATTTCTTCGAACCCGTCTTTTGCTCTTCTGGGTTTTTGCAAGAACATCGATTGTCTGAAGAAAGTCCGCGCCTTGTTCGTTGTAAGTGGGATCAAAAGTGATCTTTTGTGCCATACCAAATTGGTTGGCCTTTATGGAACATTTGGGCATGTTGGTTGTGCCCGGTTGGTGTTCGATCGAATTCCTGAACCAGATTTTTATTCATGGAAAGTGATGATCAGGTGGTACTTTTTGAACAATTTGTATACGGAGATTATTGGGTTTTATACTCGTATGAGAATGTGTGTTGGAACGTGTGATAATGTCTTCTTTTCGATTGTGTTAAGGGCGTGTAGCGAATTGCAGGATATTGATGGAGTAAAGTACAATGTGAAATCATCAAGGTAGGGAATCCTGATAGTTTTGTTCAAACTGGCCTTGTTGATATGTACGCTAAATGTAGACAAATCGAATGTTCGCGGAAGGTTTTCGGTGAAATTCTTTGTAGAAACGTGGTTTCTTGGACTTCGATGCTCGCAGGATATGTACAGAATAATTGCGCTAAAGAAGCATTGGTTTTGTTTAATAGGATGAGAGAAGCAATGGTTGAGAGCAACCATTTCACGTTAGTTAGCTTAGTGACTGCTTGTGGAAAATTGGGGGCTTTGCATCAGGGGTGCATGGATATTTTATTAAGACAGGTATCGAACTTAATTCTTACTTGGTGACTGCTGTTCTAGACATGTATGTTAAGTGCGGTGGTCTACGGGATGCTCGTTCTGTATTCAACAAACTTTCTTCTGTTGATCTTGTATCAATGACTGCAATGATTGTCGGATATTCTCAGAGCAGATTTCCTGACGAGGCTTTGAAGTTGTTTGCTGATAAGAAAAGTTTTGGGATATTCCCCAATGCCGTTACCGTTGCAAGTTTGCTTTCAGCATGTGCACAGTTGAGCAATTTGAGCATTGGAAGGTTAGTTCATTCTTTGGGGATTCGGCTTGGAGTTATTGTTCCAACAGTGGTAAAAGCCCTAGTGGACATGTATGCAAAGTGTGGAGCGATTAGAGATGCTAGGTACTTATTTGAGACTGTCTCAGATTAGAATTTAATTGCCTGGAACACGATCATCTCTGGTTACTCACAAAATGGGTTTGCATATGATGCACTCGAACTGTTTCATCGAATGAGATCGAAATCAGTGTCACCTGATGCTGTCACACTGGTTAGCGTCTTGTCAGCCTGTGCTTCAGTTGGTGTTCTCCAAGTTGGTTCTTCACTTCATGCTTACTCTATAAAAAGCTGGCCTACTATCGTCTAGTGTTTATGTTGGCACTGCGCTTTTGAATTTCTACGCCAAATGTGGGGATTCTAAATCTGCTCGTGTCGTGTTTGACAGTATGGGAGAGAAAAACACTGTCACGTGGAGTGCAATGATTGGTGGTTATGGAATTCAAGGGGACAGTAGTGGTTTTCTTGCACTTTTCAGTGATATGATTAAGGAAAACTTAGAGCCAAATGAAGTAATCTTCACAAGGATTTTATCTGCATGTACCCATACGGGGAGGCTCGGGGAAGGATGGAAATATTTTAACTCAATGTGCCAGGACTATAACTTTGTTCCTTCTATGAAGCACTATGCATGCATGGTTGATATGTTGGCCCGTGCTGGAAGGCTTGAAGAAGCCTTTGATTTTATCGAAAAATTGCCTTTTAAACCAGATCTTACTTTGTTTGGAGCTTTTCTTCATGGATGCGGACTCCATTCGAGATTCGATCTCGGGGAAGTGGCTATCAAGAAAATGCTCGATCTGCATCCTGATAAGGCTTGTTATTACGTTCTTATTTCTAACTTGTATGCCTCGGATGGGAGATGGGCTCAGGTTAATCGGGTAAGGGAATTGATGAAGCAGAGTGGATTGAGCAAAAACCCTTGTTGCAGCATAACAGAGATGGAAACTAATAAAAACCTTTCGTTTTCTAGAGTAGCATGTCTTGCTTAATCTTTGACATGCTTCGTCAGAGTTGACCAGACCTTATCAGAAAAACTGAAGGTAATCTGGCACTGTGTTGACTTTGAAAGGCATGTCGAGTTCTAGATGTTGGTTTCTAGAGTAGCATGTCTTGCTTAATCTTTGACATGCTTCGTCAGAGTTGACCAGACCTTATCAGAAAAACTGAAGGTAATCTGGCACTGTGTTGACGTTACAAAGGTTCTTTGAAAGGCATGTCGAGTTCTAGATGTTGGTTTTGCACTAGAAGTCGTAGCTGGTTGAAGTTGAAATGTCCTGGATCTTCAATGGGTATCGGTAATGAAGCTTGTGGCAAGAAATAAGGTGCCGACGGAGAATATAGTTTCCGAGAGCAGTTTGAAGATTCATTGCTGTAACTTTCTTGTGTTATTACTCTAACATGCGAGCATTAATTATTAGCAATTTTCAAGGCCCGGGAAATCGTTCAGCCAATTCGAGCTCTATATATGGAAACATGAGATGTTATCCAGCATTTGGTAATCTATGAATACAAAATATAGTTCTTATGATATTGCAGAAGAATTCCCCTTGCCAACATTTTCAGTTCCAAATGGTTACAATATTAAACTAGAGAACACGAAATCGGGACGGCCAATCACTCGCGAGGAACGTAACTGAAGAGTCGCACAAGTTTATCTATTTACACGGCTTTCTTCCACACCTGTAGATAAGTTCCAAGAACAAATTACAGAATCATTTTTCAACGGCAAATATTTAAGACATACCGCATCCTCCACGAACGCTTGTAAAGCGAAAATGGTATCCTTTATTTATATTTGGCCGATTGGGCTTTATTTATATTCTTTTAGGTATAATGACAAAATTAAAACCTAATGTTTACATAAATTGTCACTTTACTCTTTTTGGGAGTATTTTAACTCAAATGTTTCAATTTTTTTTTTTTATCAAAATTACTCATATTGTATGAAAATCGTTAGTTAACTCACAATCAACACATGTTGCTAACGTAATATTTTTACATTTGTTTAACTGATGATGTGACATATATCAGATCATCACGTCATTTCTTCTTGTGTGACATAACAAATATCTTGTCATCATTTTGAGTAACATGATACATGATTGTTTTGATGACATGACACATATCAAATCATTAACTAAACATATAAATGTCCACATTAACAACATATGTTGACAATTAGTTAACTAATAATTTTCATCCAATATAAGTAAATTTAATTTAAAATGTTTTAATTAGAAGCTTTAATACTCCAAAAACGAGTAAGTAGCAAAGTGGTCATTTATATAAACGTTGAGAGTTAATTTTTTCATTAAAAATGGTTAATAAATTCTGAAAAATAAAATAAAATAAAATAATGGTTTCAATTTATCTACTATGTTAAAATTTGGAATGTAATCTCTAATTTAATTTAACATAACTTAATCCCTCTATTTTCATAATATTTGAATTAGATCTAAACTGACAACACCATTATTTTATTGCTAAAATGATGACATAAATTTTATAAAATAAAAATTACTTATTTGCTTGACATGTAAATTTATAATTGGACCAAGAACATTATATAAAAAAACAAATTATAAAAAAATTAAAATAGATATCAAAATAGAAGGACTAAAACCATAATTACACCAAACAAAAGAGAGCTTGCTGACTGTGAGGTTCGAACTCACGCGCATTTATATGCAGCAGATCTTAAGTCTGCCCCCTTAACCTCTCGGGCAAATCAGCTGATTGTTATATACTTAAAACAACATTTATACATATGATATTTTAGCAAAATAAAGTCAATAATCAAATTCATGCACCAAAATCACATTAACCTATTTTATTCATACCAAACTTATAAGACTGATGCTTGTTAAGCAGAATGATAAACAATTTTGATATCTTTCAAGTAAATCTAAGTTTTAAGTTTCAGAGAGTTTTTTCGTATTTGCAATTTGATACGACTCAAATTTGAAATAATCAGGCTCTAATGTGATTATCAGATACCGAGTCTTAGACTCAAAAATGAATCAGAAATGACAACCAGAAGAAATCATATATTGTTGTTTTGACTAAATTAGTAACTCCGAGTCTGTAATTTCGAGAAATATGTGCAAACCAATCAGGTTTACACCTTCAAGGAAAGAATTTCCTTCAATGTACCGGTAAAGAAAGTTAAATAACCTCCCAATTAACAGACATTATAAGAGTTAATTTTGCATGATCAGGGCGTTAAAGAGAAACTTACATTTCTTGCAAGAAGGGATGCTTATAGAATGCTTCAGGAATTCTTCTTGCAAATTGATTGTGATCTAAATACCTGCATTTCCAGTATGAGCAAATATTAAGAACATGTACGAAGACAAGTTCATACTATTATCTTGCTCCGACTCTTCATTCTACTTGAAGAGTTTGTATCGGACAGTTTAAGTTCACTCTATTATCAAGCAAACAAGCAAACCAATTAACATCAATGTTTTAATTCAACGAAACTGTACCCCAGGGCACCCGTGTCTTGTCAATCAGAACCAAAAATGTAAAGCAATGAACTTACAACGACATCAACGCACGGAGACGAGCAACTTCAGATGGTGTTTCTCCCGACAGTTTGTTGTGAGATAGGTACCTGTAATCAATATACCAATTAATGAAAATCAGAGTTATACTCCATGTCCTCAAAGGTTAAAAACTTAAAATGACTGTACTTACAAGATTTCTAAGTCGGTCAAGTTTGCGAGCTGTGCTGGAGTTCCACCGGTCAAGTAATTATTGTTTAGGTACCTATAGGCCATAGTTTCAAATAAAAAGGGCTGCCATTTAGACAATTCTTAAATACAGGGTTTCAAAAACACAACAAAGTCATTGTTAATACTCGACTGAAATGAATCTTGAATCTTACATGTTCCGAAGTGCTGGGAAGCAACCATCAATGCTTATGAGTTGTTTTATAGTACTGACCACATGATTGTTCCCGACATCCCTACAATGATAGTGTTAGAACACGATGCACAATAGAAACAATGGAAATAGAACAGATATCCTTATGTGCAAAGACTGATCAAGAATGTTAAACGTTTTATGGAGATTAGTAGTCTTACAAGAACTGAAGTTTGTTCAAACTGCCTAGCTCGGCCTGCATATGACCCAAGTAACGGTTTTGATGTAGATGTAGGTAGCGAAGTTCCGTAAGAGTTGCCAGCTCCTTTGGGATTTCCCCTTTCAAATTATTGAAGCTCAGGTACCTAAACAAGTTCCACTTGGTGATTTCAGAACAACTTAAGATACATACACTCACCACTCTCAAACTAATAAAGCAGGGAGAACATCCTGTAGCTTATTCCACCTCAAATTACTACACCAAAAACAAAAAATCAAAGAAACGGAATCAAACCAAAGTTACAAAAACCTGAGAAAGTTAACTTGTATTTGAATGTTACTCTGACATGGGTATATGTTTAAATTTTTCTATAGTTTTTCGTGTATTTGGTAGGTTATATTCTCGTATCCATGTCCGGAAATGTGTTGAGCACAGTTGTCGAACATAAATATTTGGAGAAAAATGAAGATGCAAAGCAATACAGCTTTATTCCATAGTCAAAGAATCTAGTTATGACGCTGCAGAACATATGATGTTGATTAAAACCAAAAGAAAAATAAGGTAACATACACAGCATTCGAAGATGTTTGAGCCGACCAATTTGAGGCGGAATCGGTCCGGTTAGCTTGTTGTTATGCATATCACTGCCATTTTCAACAATCATACTAGGTTTCAGTAAAAATCGTTCAATTAATTAACAGAAAAAAATTGAGAAAAATATTTAATCATACAGTCGAGTAAGATCTAGCAAATTCGTCACTGCAACAGGAAATGGCCCGACGATTTAAACTGCATAAACTTCCCTGCCAATTAAACGAACCAAACTAAAAACAAATAAAAACTGAAGCTAACTAAATTCAAGAGAGAGAGAGAAACGGAAAAGTACAGATCGGTGACAACTCTATAATCGCCGACGAAGGAACAGGTGACGATTGGCCACGGCGGAAGATTGCCGCCGCCACAAGGATCGTCGCCGACCCAGGTGTACACAACCGTCCATCCCTACGACGCCTTTACTTCATTCAATGCTTTAGCTGACAAAACCAAAACAAAACATATTACAAGAAAGAAAGAAAGAAAAGGAATTTTAACGTGGAAATTCAGGATAACTAAGTTCATTACCGTCGCGTTTGAGAGTTGTGCAAAAGGAAAAAAAGTTTTGGATTTAATTGATATTTTAGAAGAAATTAAGGATTAAATTGTAAAATTTTAAAGTTTGAAGACTGATTTATAAATTGTATGAAATTTAGTGGCTAAACTATTAATTTAGTCGATTTTCTATAGGTGATAATTATAAACTCTCCCCGCTAGTTTTCTAGAGAGATTTTTACAGTTTTTCTCTTTCCCTCAATCCTTTCGTTATGAATCGTCGTCGTTCGTCGTTAATTTCAGATGGAAGTATCGTCAATTTTAACTCGATTTCAGTTGATTTTTCGTCGATTCACGACAATCCGTTTTCGACACCTTCCGCACCATCGTGTTCCTTGTATCGTTCTGAGTCCATCGGTGTTCTCCGTTTCTCTGTCGTCGCCGCCACGTGGAGGGGGTGAGAAAGTCAAAGTTTTTGACGTTTCGGAATCGAGCTCTCCGCCGTTCAAAATTGTGAACCGAGCTTGGTAAGTGTCTCAAAATTCCTTAAAATAATTTTAGGAATTTTTCCGGGAATTTTCCGACACCGTATCACTGTTCACGCGCCACCCCCGATAGTGGGCATCGTCTGAGTGTTAATTTTGCAATAAATTTATGTTTAGGTATTATTTGTGTAAAATTTGGATGTTAGTTTTGTAAATAATTGTAGAAGGTGGCTAATTTTGTAATTAATTTTTGTTAGTGTGATATTTGTGTAAAATGATCGACTGTTGACTGCGTTGATCGTTGACCACAATTGACCAGAACTTTGACCAGCGTTGACCGGGCATTAAATGATATTTGAATTTGACCGAGAATACATATCCTAACGTTCTTCGACGTTCCGAATCCGATTCCGATGTCCGTTTTTCGAAATTCGAACCCGAATGCCTCGAAACTGCCAGTCAAAGCCGTTGTCTTTGACCGAAAATTCAAAATTTTCGAAAAGTTATATTTTATGTTTTTGATGTCTCAAATCTATTTTTGGGGTTCGTTTCGTCAAACTTGAACCCCGGTAAGCTATTTTTGACTGATTTATCACCCGATTCGATCCGTTTTTCGAAATTAAGCTTCATTTTTTTTGTAATTTCTGTTGATATGCATCTGAGGAATTATTGGAATATGATTTAAAGATCGAGAGCATTCGAATGGAATTTTTATAGTCGATCAGTATGTCACGAAAATCGAGGTAATATTTTACTACCTTTTTATGCTTTATGGAACATGTTGATATTGATAAATGTATGAATATAAAAATGTTTGGTCTCATTTGTGTAGTTAGTTAATTTCTACACTCGAACTGAATACAGTAAAAATGCGATAACTGAATATGATTCATATGATTAATATAAGAAATTGGAGGATAGTTGGAATTAAATTACAAGCTTTGTGATAAAGTGATAAATGAATCAGTCTGGTTGTGCAAATTATAATTTATTTCACCAAATGTACTTGGATTGGAAATTATGAAAATACTTCGATAGGGTAAAATTAAGAAAATACCCTTATGTTGTAAGATGACAAGAATTGTCTCTGAAAGTTGATTAATAACTTTTGAAAATATATATTGATCTGATAAAATTTCATATGTGCTTAGGAAGTGATAGTTTTACTTGGAAAATATGGATAAGCGGTTTTTAACCCCAAGAGGGTTTGTGCAAGATACTAGAAGTATGTTAAATAATCATTTCAAGATAAGAGAATGTTGGATAAAGCAATTAATCATAGGATCTCTAAATTATACTATTTTTGTTAAGATTTAATACCGAAATTATCTGGTTAAGAAATTATGAAAATGCCCTTGAGAGGTAAAAATAGCTCGAGTTGACCCTGAATGAGAAAGTACATTGAGGATTCGTACTTAACTCGATTTAAGTCCGTATTTGATTGTTAAGATCCTGACTTAGTGCAGAAAAATTCCTGATATTTCGTTTGTAAAATCTGAGAAGGCACTTGACCGAAAATATTCGAGTTATAAGTTAATACCTGAAGAATGATTTATCAATGGTGCTCTTTTGTCAGAATTGTTTGAATGGACTGAAATAAATGATAAGTTTTGAATTTAATAATAAGATTGGACGGAATGAATTATTGGACTACAATAGATCTGTAAAATGACCAGAATACCCTTAGAATGCAAATGACCAAGAATATCACCAAGCTCAGGAATGATTGGATATCCTCGAGCTCTGAAATGAATGGAATAAAGCTGAACACCAAAATAACCAAAATACCCTTATGGCATATACTAAGCATATGTTTTGAATTAATTAAGAAATCTAAGTAAATATGGGTGTTGTACTACCCTTAAAAGTTATGGAACACAACTTAAGTAAGTTGATCAACGTTAATGATATGTCAGTTCCTGATCTGCACAGATATCACTTGAATGAGTGTACGTCTACTCAAGTTTGGCTCGAAGATAATTTTTGGAAGTATTCAGCTCAGCTCAACTCTAGATCGCATTCAATACTAAGGATTTGATATTTGTTCGACAAATTAACCACGAAGACTGAACTGAACTGAAAGAAAGTACAATATATATCCGAAATTCAGAGACATCCAAACTAATCTGGAAAACCCTAAAGTAACTGAAATGAACTTGACTACTAAATGAATTAAGTAATATCAAGGACTGAGGATTAAGTAAGTGATTTGGATGAGTATAGAAACGTTAATGATCATACATGATGTAATTTTCTTATGGATCATGAACTATAAATCAAGCACGTCAGCAGTTCATGATATAATGAAAGCGTGAACATGAAATTAAGAGCATTAGAATATCTGTTAGTCTCCTTAAGATCTGTTCAGTGATGACTCGGAAGATGATCTATGGATAAGAATATTTGGTATTAAAGAGTAAATACCCGGGAAGGTTAATGAATTGACAATTATTAGTCCTGAGAGCTATTCATCTGGAGTTGTTCGATAATCCGAGTAATCGACATAGATTGTAAAGGTCATGAACCTTCATTTCTTCCTTACCAACTCAAGTCATATTCTGAATAACTGATGATTTCGTCAGTTATTGAACTCTTCCAATAGTGATTCTAAATTCTGATATTCTATCGGTATACTGAAGATCTGTATTCCTCCACCTGTTAAGATTATCCAATATCTTTGAATAATATCTATAAATTCTGGTGTGTTCCCTACTCACATGAATATTTTATCTGATTTTCGATTTGAATTCTGATCTGATACTTGACATGGATTCTGATATGATATCTGACATGGATTCTGATATGATACTTGACTTGGATTCTGATTTGATACTTGACCTGGATTTTGATATGATACTTGACATGAATTATGCTTTGATTTTTGATATATCCGTTTACGGACGGAACATATTTTATTTGGGGGGTATTGTTGGAGGAAGAATACTTGGAGGCTCTTCGGCTGTGTGCTCAGGGCCTTACTGGACGTGACGGGGTTGTATGGTTCTGGGGAACCTACACATTTTGTTCGTGACGGATGGGGATATATATATATATATATATGTTTTAAAAGATATGTATCTTTTTACTGGTTTTACGGTAACACACTAGATAACCTATTCTGATATCCTGAACTTAGTCGTCTGAAATATTTCTTTGAACTGAAAGCTCATTGTCCGTTACCATTTGAAATACCAGTAGGATTTCTGCTCAACATAAATATTTGTAGATGTCTGAACCGATAAGAAAAATATATGTTTATATGTATCTGCACGTTCATCAGCATCATCTGGTAGTTCTGTATTACTGAGCATTTCAAAGCTCACTCTATTACTCACCTTTGTAGGTTAAAAGAATCGTACAAGTATATCAATCAACATCAGTAAGGAAGTTCTTCCGGGGTTACTTGCAGAGTACGCTACATGTGATTAGGGAGCATGTAATTATATTTTATTTTATATATGAGTTTGAAAATCTATTTTTTTCTGCATATTAATAAATCATTTTATAAGTTACATGTTTTAAGAAATTTTTTAAATTTTCCGCTATTTTTACAGTGAGTTGCTCCGGTGGCCCTAATGTGACACTCCAGATCGGATCAGGTTATCCGTATCGGTCTGAGGAGGTTACATTTAGTAGTATTATAGCTTTGGTTTGAGTCAAAATTTTCAAGATAGACCGGCCGGTCGAATTTTAAAAGGCGTTTGATCAGTACATGCCCCTAGACTACAATCGTACTTCTCTGAGCCGAAACTCCAAGGTTGGGTCCCTATCTGTAACGAGCAAACCTAAGTTTTTATCCATTAAGGTTCTACCCTTGCATAAAGGAATACCAGTAACGTCTGTCTAAATTATGTAAAGTACCCTACGAGTAATGTGAGAGTTACTCATTCGAGAAATTTTAACATGACTCCGGAAATGAAATTGGGATATGTTGCTACTCTATGAGCCTATTCTCGTAACCAAGACTAAATTGATTTCACAAGGATAAAGTTGTTTTGATTATTTATTGAAATGAGAGAGAGTTCTAATGAGAATATATACTCAGCTCGTTAAGAATTTGTAGAGGATCTGTACTTTTGGTAAAAATAATGTGAAGCTATGAAAGATCTGAAGGAAGTTTCATTTCTGAAATAATGTGACATGAATGAATTTCGAGGACGAAATTATTTTAAGGAGAGGATAATTGTACACCCCAATTTAGAGGCTAAATTTTAGAAATTATAAAGTATTGGATTTAATTGGTATTTTAGAAGAAATTAAGGATTAAATTATAAAATTTCAAAGTTAGAAGACTATTTTATAAAGTGTATGAAATTCAGTGGCTAAACTATTAATTTAGCCAATTTTCTATAGGAGAGAATTATAAACTCTCCCCCGTTAGTTTTTCAGAGAAATTTTCCCAATTTTCCTCTTCCCCTCAACCCCCTTTCAACTCCGATCTACTCACCATCCGACGTCCGATCGACGAACCGAAACTACCATCGTGTACGTTGTTGACCAAACAAAACCCTTCAAACCTTTCGTTATGAATCGTCGTCGTTCGTCGTTAATTTCAGTTGGAAGTATCGTCGATTTTAACTCGATTTCAGTTGATTTTTTATCGATTCACGACGATCCGACAATCCGTTTTCAACAACTCCTGCACCATCGTGTTCCTTGCATCATTTCGTGTCAACCGGTGTTCTCCGTTTCTCCGTTGTCACCGGCGCGTAGAGGGGTAAGAAAGTCAAAGTTTCCAACGTTTCGGGATCGAGCTCTCCACCGTTCAAAATTGTGAACCGAGCTTGGTAGGTGTCACAAAATGCCTTAAAATAATTTTTAGGAATTTTAGTGGGAATTTTCCGACACCGTATCACTGTTCACGCGCCACCCCCCGAGAGTGGGCATCGTCTAGGTGTTAATTTTATAATAAATTTCTATTTGGGTGATATTCGTGTAAAATTCAGGTGTTAGTTTTGTAAATAATTGCAAAAGGTGGCTAATTTTGTAATTAATTTCTGTTAGGGTGATATTTGTGTAAAATGGTCGACTGTTGATCGTTGACATGTGTTGATCATTGACCGGCGTTGACCATTGTTGACCAGCGTTGATCGGGCATTAAACGACCTTTGACTTTGATCAAGTATACCTATCCTGACGTTTTTCGACGTTTCGAATCCGATTCAGTAGTCCGTTTTTCAAAATTTGGACCTGAAGGCCTCGAAATTGCCAGTTAAACACATTGACTTTGACCGAAAATTTAAAATTTTCGAAAAGTCATATTTTATGTTTTTTATGTCCCAAATCCGATTCGATCCGTTTTTCGAAATCAATCTCCGTTTTTTATGTAATTTCTGTTGATATGCATATGAGGAATTATTGAAAGATGATTTAAAGATCGAGGGCGTTCGAATGAAATTTTTATGGTCGATCAGTATGTCACGAAAATCGAGGTAATACTTTACTACCTCTTTATGCTTTATGGAACATGTTGATATTGGTAAATGCATGAATAAAAAAAATGTTTGGTCTCATTTGTGTAGTTAATTAATTTCTACACTCGATCTGAATACAGTAAAAATACGATAACTGAATATGGTTCATATGATTAATATAAGAAATTGGAGGATAGTTGGAATTAAATTACAAGCTTTGTGATAAAGTGATAAATGAATCAGTCTGGTTATGTAAATTATAATTTATTTCATCAAAGATACTTGGATTGGAAATTATCAAAATACTTCGATAGGGTAAAATTATGAAAATACCCTTATGTTGTAAGATGACAAGAATTGTCTCTGAAAGTTGATTAATAACTTTTGAAAATATATATTGATTTGATAAAGTTTCATATGTGCTTAGGAAATGATAGTTTTACTTGGAAAATATCGATAAGCGGTTTTTAACCCCAAGAGGGTTTGTGCAAGATACTAGAAGTCTGTTAAAGAATCATTTCAAGATAAGAGAATGTTCGAGAAAGCAATTAATCATAGGATCTCTAAATTATATTATTTTTGTTAAGATTTAATACCGAAATTATCTGGTTAAGAAATTACGAAAATGCCCTTGAGAGATAAAATAATTCGAGTTAACCCTAAATGAAAAAGTACATTGAGGATTTGTACTTACGTTGATATTTAAAATTGTATTGTACCAACTGTTGATTAGTTTAATGGGATGAATTGTTAGATTTTTTTGTCAAAATTTCAAATTATAACATTATAAGTAAATAATTAAATTAAAAACTCAATCTTTTAATTAATATTTATAATATTTGATACAAATTAATTTAATTAATAGATCAAATTTTACCGACAAAATTGAGATTGAATGGTTTGTAAGTTCAGGTGAGAAAAGAGGTTGATTTAATCTTATATGTTAGGGCAATGCATTCTACAAATTTGGAAGAAAATTATAATGGTATCTATAGATTATCCTTTTTAATAAGAATATCTATGAATTTCATATAATGATATTCACAATTTTTTTGTTTAATCAAATCATAATACTAATAAAATAATTAATGAAATTTATATATTTGTATTCTATTAGATATTTTACTATTTTTTGTATAACCACTTATTTTTCATTTATTAATCGACTAATTTTGATCGGGTACTACAGAGACAATAGCGTCAACCATCCCAATCCAGTTTGCTCCATTCGTAAACGTCAAGATTCGAATATCTATATAAAGGCTAAGCAAAGCATCTACAATTAAACAACAAATTAAGGGTCGGTGGGTAAGCACCTCATGTTTTAGTTTTGGAGTGTATGAAATAATACATGCTTCGGTTATTATGATGCATGGCAATCACATACATATAAACGCCACGCGTGTCGGAGTTGATTAATTGATCATATACGTTAAACCTAATTAATTAATTAACATTAATTGGATATCGACAACGCTGTGTTTGATCCTCATAAAGTAGTTGTTTCCCATAATGGGTTCAAGTAATGTGCGGTTTCTTACAATAGGTGGACTGACAAATTATGAATACAATATACTTCAAAATAATTATAAATTTTAATTAAATAAGAATTTGTAGAGCACTATTGGCTAAATTAAATAAGAATTTCGTGGTGTTATTTTTTAAATTAAATAATATTAAAGATGATTATGACAAGTGTGGTGGGATTACTTATATTGATTTCGCAATATAAAATATAGGAGTAAAATCTTATTGAAATAATTAAGTGGGATCCAAACCAGCTTTGTATGCTGAAGACGAGACTGCAACCGAATCAATTTGGCTTATCAAATTAGTCACACAAAAGATGGCTAATCAAATGAACATCATGTATAAGGGAATCTATCTAAATTGGTTACTTTAAGTGGTAGTAATATATTTTTTAGGATAAACCACATATTTGGTCACCTACCTATTACTCAATTTATGTTTTAGTCACTAATTATTATTTTTTTCAACATCGTATCTAAAGTTACGTTTTAGTTACCCACCGTCAAAAAATTAATAGTGATGATGATGTAGCATCTTTTTTAAAAAAAATTAATATTGACATGACATTAACTTATGGTGACATATCATCATCACCGTTAATTAGATTTAAACTAAAATAATATCATATTTAAAAAACTAAAATAAAATCGAATCTAAAACTTCAACTATCAGTTTCAACCTTGATCAATTGTGCTAAAGATTCAGTTTTTAATTTTATATCATAATTAAAATTATAATAGTAAGATGAATAAATTTTAATTAACTACCAATTAATCTAACACATTAGATCTCTTAAATAACATTTATTATTTAATTTTTGACGTAATTAAAGAAGTAAATTAGACTGAGTAGATATAGGCCTAAACATATATATATATATATATATATATATATATATATATATATAATATATATATATATATATATATATATATATATATATAATTTCTACAATATTCTCTTTAAAATAATCAATCAAAAAATTATATATATTTATATCAAACTTCCACGAAATTCCAATAAAATTTCCACATCTCCTTATTTATATTGTTAAGAATTTCAATCTTAAACCAGTTAAAAAAATTCTTAACCAAAATATAAACAACTTACCAAAATGCCGCTAATAAGTTAACATGGGAAAGTCTTACGTACGACAACTTTAATATATAATTAAGGAAATGTGATACAATTTTTTTATTATTTTTTAATAAAAATAGTAAAAAATTTACGGAAACATTATTATTTCTACCGGTTTTATTATTATTAGGTGTTTTACCGATTTTGTTAATATATTCGATAAATTATTACTTAAAATATTATTTTTTTCTACTGATTTTTTTATTATTTAACACTTTACCGAAAATATTAAAAAATATTAATATTTTAAATAAAAATAATAATATTTTAAATAATTTTTACCGATTTTATTAAAAATAACAATAATAAAAAAACCGGTAATATATTAAAGCTACCGCTGAGTAGAACTTTCCAAGTTAACATAGGCGACGCGCCAACAGACTGTCGCCCTTTCTCTTTTTCCCAATCCCGTTGCTCAAATATCAGCCTCGCGTCACTATTCTGGTTTGACGCCAATACTTGGTTTAATTTTGCTATAGTCCCTTTCATTTTTTTTCAGTTTATAAATCTAATCTTATTTTTAATCTCGAAAATTTAGTTCCTTCATTAGTGTTGGTCTAATAATTGAAGTGTAATTAATAATACTTCAAAAATATTTCATTAAAATGAATTCTTTTGAATTCTCAAGCTAACAAATTTGCTTACGATACCTATATTACTCATAAGTAAATATTTTTTTTGAATATTCTACTATAGATAATTAAAGTGACAGTTGATAATATTTTTTACACGATTTTTTAAAGCGTTAAGTTGATTGCGTGAGCTTTTTTTCTCTAAAAAATTCATATAATCTATTTGAAATAGAGACAAAACTGAGATTAAAGATTAAAAAAGGTTAAATTATTTCACATTAGAAGAATAAGGGTATATTAGATATTTAAATTTAAAAATTTGAAAGAAAAAAGTATTATCTAATTAGAACTAAAACTAAAAAAAAGTCTCAAAATACTATTATTCCAAACAATTTGGAATCAATTATTAAACTAAAAGAGCAAGAAATATTAAAATCACAAAATTAAAGGTAGATGGACTAAATTTCAAATATACAAATATTATATGGACTGAAAGCAAATTAGTCTTTTTTGTGTAACTTTTAATTTTTTTCCCTTAGTCGTTTCCTTCACCTCTTTCGATCGATGGGAGAAAAAGAAAGTTTTTCAAAAACCACGCGTGCCTTCTCCAGCACTAAAACTCACACATACGCAGAACGCCAAAACCCTAGCTCTTCTTATTTCTCTCTCCGCGTTTCTTTTAGATTCTGTTTGGATGCTTTGAATCCTTTGATTTTCCACCCTTTAGTTTGCTGATATGGAAGATAAAGAGGGGAGCAATCCAGGAGGTGAGTTTACATCGGAGTCGAGCTGGACACTTTCCGAGGGAGGACCTGACTCGGTGTCCAACAGCGTTAATTACTTCTTCGACTGGGAGAGTAGTATACTCAGTGAATTCGGCTTGGATCTACGGCAGGGTCATGCTGACAAGTTCGGACGGTTCGCTGAACTAGATCGGCCTGAAGCCAGGCCTGAATTGGCGGGAAAATTTAGCGGCTCACAAAGCTGCGCTGCAGCTGATGATGTTGCTCGTTGTTCAGTTTCGGGGACGGCTTCGAATCCGGGTGGGTCAGCTGTCGTGTCGACGTCGAATCTGTCGGGGTATTCGAGCTCCAGCGAGGATCTGCCGGAGAAATCTACGGGATCCGGCAGAAAACCGCCCGAGATACCGTGAGTAGTAGTGAACATAACCTTCGCCAATGATGAAAATGAGATAAAAAATCATTAAATAAATTGACCGTTTATTTATTTCTTTATTTTTATTATTTCGAGGACTGAGTCGCAACTACGTACAGATCCTGGTGGTAAAATAACAGATTGTAGTACAGAGGGTGCAATTTTCGGTGTCAGTACATTCTGAAACTGTAGAAATAAACAAATTGTTTCGTGCAAGTTGGGGAATGAGGTAAGGTAGTCTCGTAATTTTTGTGAAACAATGCGTTTAAGGGAATATAGGCGTGAAACCAAGAGGGACTTTTCGGCTATTAACGAAATGGCATTGAACGCCGTTACGCCGCCGCTATTGCGGCTGGAATATGCCGCTCTTCCTTTTCTTTTACTTATTCTTCCCTTTCGGTTCTTGTTTCAAGTTTTAATCACGTTAATTTTAAGGCAAACAGTGGGAATATAGCTGGTAAAATCCCTCTTTAGATAACGTAAATCATAGAGTTTAGATCATATTTTCTTCCACGATTTTTTTATGAAGTCTCTTTTTTGTTCTAAATTCATCCCCTCCTGTAAAAGTGAAACGGGCGTTGCAAATCATTCATTATATGTTATCTGAGTGTTATTTTTTAGGCGGGTTTCTCGATTGCTTTAGGAATCTGCGAATGCCGTTCATATGGTATTGCATTTCATGTTCTAAGAAAGTTGCTTGTTATTTGCATAGTATTAAGTACAAGTATCTTAATTCTTCGCATTTAATTCTTTTTTCAAACAGAAGCTTTTAATATTTAGGGATTTTCTTCTTTTCATTTTGATAATTGTAGGTGGGATGTTTTTGTAGGAGTAAGGTGAGGAAGAAGGGGCAAAAACGAATACGGCAGCCACGTTTTGCATTTATGACCAAGAGTGAGGTTGATCATCTTGAAGACGGCTACCGATGGCGGAAATATGGGCAAAAAGCTGTTAAAAACAGTCCATTTCCTCGGTCTGTTGCTATTTCTCTATTATTGATGATACACAGAAATTTGACATTTTACCCACTTTTAGAACTGATTCAATGCCATATTTCTGTTAAAAAATTAAACAATATACTGAAACATGGTTTCTATCAGTTCTTTTCTGTTTGTCATAGGGGTGGTTTCTATCGGTATACTGACAAAAAAGGGTGGAAAAATGAAATCAAAGGGTTATTATAAAGTAGAGTTAATAATGCCGTTCTTCAACAACGTTAAATTTTGGTTATTAATTAGTTCAGTGTTTTTCATAGTCTCGGAAAGGGAGATTCAAACAGTTCATGAGTATGCCATCTTTAGCACAAGGACGAAGCCATTAAGGATTTGGGAGGGACTGTGACCCTAAATTTGTTATATAATGATACATTAGATTTTTTCTAATTTAAATATTAATTAAATAAAAATTTTGTTTCTTTTAAATTTTAGATTTAAATACTTATTAAATTCTTGTTCTCTTTGTGTAAAATAATTTAATTCATCCCAATGTTTAATTCTAGCTTCATCCTTGTCTAACATCCTAAAAATTGATTCTCTATTTTCTTAAACCACAAGTCTGAATTTTTTGCTGCATAAATAGTTTTGTTCAGCCTTATTTATGCGAGAAAAAGTTTACTTTGCATTATCTAAAGTGGTCAAATTTATAAAGCAAAGTCTTCAATAAGGGAAGGGGTAGGGTTGTTCAGGAATCGAATCTAAAATTTTGTAAGTTAATTTGATATAAATCTTCTAAATTCTAACACTCCCTTTATGGTTTAGTTTAGATTCTTTTATCAAGTAGCAAAAACATGATATTGTTTTTCATAGAATCATTATGTTAGAGCGAAGTCAAATAAGGAATTCATGTTTAAAATAATTAATGGAAGTAAAATTTTCATATTGTTGTGCAAATCTAAGACACATAATTGGTCTTACAGGAGCTACTATCGCTGTACAAACAGCAAATGTACAGTGAAGAAGAGGGTAGAACGCTCTTCTGAAGATCCTACCGTTGTCATTACTACATATGAAGGTCAACACTGTCATCACAGTGTAGCATTCCCCAGAGGGGGACTCATCAGCCATGAAGCTGCCTTTGGTGGTCAATTGACGCCGGCAGTCTCACAATTTTATCATCCAGAGGTACAGTTACATAAGGAAATTCCTCCAAGCAGGACACAATCACAGTTACAGGCACACGAAACACCGATTGACGTAGGAGAAACTCGTTCAGAGCCCCCGACAGATGAAGGGTTACTCGGTGATATCGTCCCTTCCGGAATGCATAACAGATGAGAAAGAAAATATGGTATGCATATCTTCCTTTAACTAAATCAAGTTAATTAACTTACTTCCATGCTCTGCATGTGGTTGTCCATTTGAATTTGTGTGCTTTAAAGGGAGGAATGCAGTATCATTTTTTATCTCAAATTAGGAGGAACAATCAGTACCGAAGTAGCTTGATGCCAAATGGAAATTATGAAGGCATAAGGAAGATGCATAGCTTTGTTATTGATGTGTAATTCAATCTACCATAGCCATGAGGGCTGAGGCTTTCACATGTCTAGACCTTCTTAGCTATACTAGCTAGTGGACCACTGTAATGTTTTTTATATTAAACCCCACAAGCATGAGATATATAGAAAGCTCTTTGATTGATCAGTCTTAATCCATATTGGAACAGTTTAACTGTATTGGAGTACTAATAAATAGGATAGAATATTAAAATAGGACCCTTAATGTTTATCGATATACTGGTATCTATAGTGATATATCCACAGTCATACTTGTGATTTCTTCGCTTGTTTCCACATCATGAATAATGTCTGGTGCATAATTTTATCGACTACTGTTTCTTAGGATTCAGCGTTTGTAGATTGCCTAATTGTTTCTTGATGTTGCCCGCTTACTTGTGTTTATCAGGCATTTGGAAAGGCCTTTCTAGACATGGGTTTTGATAGATTAATGCAACTTTAGTGATTGTGAAAAGATTCTAAAGTACCTGTAGAATCATTTAGATTGACGTTTTAGACGTTCCTTTGCCACTATTCCAGTTGCGTTCTTCGATGAATCACTCCAAATATCAACTAATTGTCTTGTTATATTTTTTATTACTCTTTTAGTTTATACTTTTTCAAATATCTTAAAATTTTGTGAAATTTCAATTCAAAACTTAGAGAAAAATAATTCTGATCTACTTTCTCCATCATCTTCAAATGAAGATATATTGTTCGTCTTCTCCTTCTTCACCTCTTCACTTCTAGAATTTAGAAAATAAATGTTCCAGTGTTGAAAAATTAGAGGAAGTCCGAAAAATTAGATTAAAAATTCAAGAAGGAAGATTTTAGGAATATTTTTCACTAATTTAGAATAAAATTTTAGGATTTCATTATAATTTCTTACATATAGATGTCTTATCATAACACTTTTAAATATTTAATAATGAAATGATGTAAAAATAATTTAAAAATGCATGAAATAAGATTAAAAACAATTGAGCCATGAAATGTATAGTTTACCATTCTTTTAATGTTGTTTAAGTAACAAAACAAAAGATCATGATTATCACTAAATTACTCTTTCCTAATCACATCAAAACACAGTAAGTGAACCTTCAATTTTACTGTTACTTATAATATTACTTTCAGAACTAAATGTAAACTGAGTAAATTGTTCACTGTAGAGTATTAATCCTATGGTACAGGAAGTACAATATCTTTTATTTCTAAATAGTCATGGTCTACAGGATTATGCCAACCGATCATATGATAGGAGGAACCATAGAACTTTCTGTTTTATATAATGTGGGGGGAAAAACAAAAAGCATGTGACAGTTTGCCGACAAAAAAAAAAGTCCATAGAACTAGGGTTTGCCGTTCTCTTTGATGTTTTTCTCATTAAGAGAGTTAGTATTACAAAAATAATGCTGATCGTATCTACAGGCATGTTATTGATTGGTAGAAGCTGAAGAGCAGGCACGCCATGCATGCAAGGCGATTTTTAATCAAGTGGAAGTGAGTACTTCACCAGTTTATCAGATATAATGGCTATAGCTTCTGATCAGTTCATAATCTTATGCTCAGATTTATCTAATCTCAACCCTTGAGTTCTAATTTATGCATCTGAATATTGATATTCTTGGTTATTAGTTTTAGATGTTTAGGAGCATATATAGACGGGGATGGATAGGAACAGTCACTCTTAAAAAAATTAAAATTATTACATATTTTAAATATATTTTATATTTTTTCACCTCCTAAATTATATAACTTTATTCCTACTAAAATTAAAAAAAAATTATTCTTCTAACTTAAAATTCTACGTGGGTCCTTATTCTGGATATTAATCACCGTTAAAGCTGGATTGAAGTAGTTAACTGTTGGTGGTGGTCTACGTGAATGTGAAATGCAGGAATCCATAATAATAATATGAGCATATAGTAAAAGAAAATGGTCCACTTGTTTTGTTCTTTGTTCGTCAGTTGCGTGGATTTCAAAGTTGCTTCAGAGTTGGCAGCCAGCCGACATTGCTTTCTTCTCAAAGCCTGCCCCTACCCAATTACTGTTTCTCAGTACTCCACCAGTTCTTTATGCCGTTGCCTTTATATTATAGTTTCATTGATGTCATCATTATTAGATATGACGGCATATTTAAAATCTGATTATTTCGAATAATTTTTTTAAAAAAATTATAAAATATTATTTATTGGATAATCAATTAAATTTCATTAATCAATTAGGAATTGAGAAAAATTCGACTGAGTTTAAAAATTTGATTTCTTTACTCGTAATATCAAAAATTTAACTCGACTACAAAATTTAAATCAAATTTAAGTTATAAAATAAGACTTGAATAATTTAAATATCTCAAAATTTTTAATAATTAGTGGATTAATTTTTAAGTTTGAGTCGAATCCCTAAACTACGAATGATACGTGTATCTTATATAAAAAATATGAATAAATATGTCTATAATATATGTTTATAAAAAGCCATTTAAATTAAAATTATTTAGTATTAGAAAACATTATAAATACTTTCTATTGAATGTAAATAGGAACTCGAACCAACTCGATTCAAATTTATTAAACTCAAATTGACTTGAAATTTTTTAAATAAAGTTTATATTGTGAAATAAAACTCGTCAATTCAAATAATTTAATTTTTTTAACTCGACTCGATCAAATGCTCATCCCTACAATTAAATACTATTTTAAATCAATTTTTTTAATTCCTTAAGAGTTATTAGAAAATTCACATAGTTAAAAAGGTAGTTTTTTTATTTTAAATAATAATATTATTTGTAAAATTATGAATAAATTTGCTATGTTGTTACTCTATTTGTGAAATATCAAATAATTGTCCGATAAATAAATGCAGGGATTGTCAAAAACTAATGTGCGCGCGTGAACGTATTTATTCTTTCCAATCCATTCAACACGTGAATGTGGTGTTGTTTTCGGATGTAAAGGCCACTTGTTACCGTACACGTGTCATTGTATTTCTCCCGTCCCCACGATCATCGTACGACGGTGGTAAGATGTGTTGCTTTATTCGCCTCTTTCTTTGGGAGTTAATTCGAAGGTTTAATGTATATTTTGTTTTCTGAATTTCTCCTTTAAGTATTTGATTAGTCTTTTAAATTTTTCTAAATTAATTTAGGGTTAGTTTGTTTCACAAAAAAAATGGATTTTTTTTGTAAAATTAGTTATATCTTATGAAAAATATTTTTTGAAAAAGAATTTACGGTATTTAGAAGATATTGTGTAAACCATTTTCCAATAGTTGAAAAATTTTATAGAAATCATTTATTGTAAATATGAAATATAATAAATAATATTATTTATCATAAAAACTTAATATTATTATATTAAAAATATTAGAATAATTTATTTAATTTTATTTATGCAAATAATATTATTAAAATATTATTTCTAAAATTTTATAAATAAAAATGTTAAGATGAGTATAATCTATTAAAATAAAAATATTATAAATTATATTAAAGTTTTATTAAAATAAAAATAATATTTATGTTTTTAAAATTATTAATAAATATATTTTAAATATTTTTATTAAAATATTATTTGACTATTATATTAATATTAAATACATAAATAATATTATTTATTATTATTAATTCAATAATATTTTTAAGAAATTAAGAAATAATATAAATTTTATTAATAATTTATTATATATTATTAAAATAAAATATAATAATATCATGTATTATTATAATATAACTAACTATAATAGTAATATTATTATAATATATTATATTGTTAAAAATATTAATAAATAATATTTTAAATAAATTAATAATTAATATTTTTATTAAAATGATACTAAAATATCATATTAATATTAAATACATAAAATAATATTATTTTAAGTATTTATGCTTTGAAGTGAAAAGTTCATAAAATGACTTACGAAAAATCAAACCGTAAGTCATTTTCCAGAAAATGTAAAAAAAATTATGTTGACTAGTAAAATGTTTTACATTGACCAATCTGCTTTCTTCCAACCAAACACTGAAAAAAATGAGGAAAATGTTTTCCGGAAAAATATTTTACATGAAACAAATAAACCCTAATATCTAGATTTAGTTTTAAATAATTAGTTAATATTCGAGTGATGAAAGGCAAATATATATACATATATATTAATAGTTATATGACCCTATCAATATCTAATATTTATTTTGAAATTTTGCTTTTTATATTTTTTTTTCTTTTTATTTACTGAGACGTTAATTCAGTAAAAAAATTATAAATAAAACGTAGATATTATGTCGATAATTGTTCTAGTGATTTGTGAAAACCGAATCAAATCATAATTTCAAGTACGTGATTGTATAAAATCAAAATCCATGTATCGCATTGTATATTATACCAAAGTTTATGAGTAGCTTTGATATTTATCCAAATTAAACTACATAACAAGACTTCCACTAATAGCAAGCTCAGGAGTTTGGGAAATTTGAGATTTTATGTTTAAATTCGTATATGATGGAATTTTACCTTAGCAAAAAGAAAACAAGTTTTAGATGCAAGAGAACAGGTTGAGGAGGTAAATTCACTTGTCTATACTCTCTAAAACCTCTTGCATCATGAGGAACCTGTGCCCAAAAGTTTGTTAACTTGGAAAATATCAAACTCAGATAGCAACGTGCCGACACTTAATCCGGATGCAGGACCGTCTAGACTCTAGAACCATCGGTTGAACACCGATACAGGCAGCCGGTGACCCTGAGTTATGACTCAAGTCTACCAAGACATGAATCCAACAGCATTCCCCACTGCATCTTCCTTGACAGGAGCCGGAAGGTTAAGGTCAATTAGAGCCGGCATGTCGGCCGTCTTGTTTGATCACCAATGTTCTGTCATCCGAACCTCCTCCGACAAAATGCGACCTTTTATGACCCCCCAAAGCTTGGCCTGGCCTGAAAACCCTGAAGCAAAATGGACACTCATGGCCTTTGTTCTTCTTTGAACCCAATATTTTCTCAGCATTGCTAGATTAACCTTTAGCAACACCAAGGCTCTTAGACTTGGTAACTTTGGTATGACTCGTAGGAGCCGTAAATACGACTCTCATGTATTGATTCGTTGCAGTCGTTTGCCTTCTTATGGCTCGCTCGGTGTCCTCCAAGGGCCCTATGGGAATCAAAGGTCTTGTTACAGGTTAAACACTCGTATTTGCTTCCCATTTGAGGACTGTAATAAGCATTCTTTCCATTCCTTCTTAAATCATACTTGAATTTGCTTTTAAACCCTGATCCAGACACCATTTTAGCCTTCTTGGACCCGCGAAACTCATAGACAGAATCCTCCGATTCCACCTTCTTTGGTCCATTTCTAAAATACCCTGAATCAGAATCCTCGGAAGAATGACAAGTTTCAGCAGATTCCTTCAACTTGTTCTTGTTGGAAACACATTTCATGGCATTCTCAATGGTGATCCTCACATCGATCAACGACGATTTTTCTTCCAACGAGAGCAAGTTGTTGTCCGAAGAATCGGCAACTGAATTCGGCCCTTTCTTATTACAGGAATCCCTCGACAACATCACCAAACACATCGCCACCTCCTCCTGTTCTTGCCCTATCTCCGAAACAGATGAAGAACCATTCCCCAAATTGTCCGAATTATTCGGCTGAACACCGATCGTCTTATACTTAACCCTCTTAAATCTCCTTCGACTCGGAGTCGTCGACGTTTCGGTATTCGACTGACTATCCATAATCAGCTTATGTTTATCGCCACTGTTGAAATGATAAACTCTCTCCTTGTCGGAATGACAAGACATATGACCGCAAAGAGCTTTCATTGATCTAAAACCCTTACCGCATTCTTTACAAATCATCTCTTTAAACGAAGAGCCATTGCTTGAATCCGAAAACCTCTTGGTTTTCTTTGGATTTTCCCTCAAACCAGCAAATCTCTTGAGCTTGTTTAAGGGTAAATCAGCTGATTCTTCTTTAGTTTCAGCATAATTATCGTTGTTCATATGAATTCTTATGTGACCACCTAATGATTTCCCACAAGGGTACCTTTTGTTGCAAAATTTGCAAACGAACTTCTTTTCTTGGTTTAACTCCATTAATGAATCAATGAAACAAACAGAACAAAAAGAAAGAAAACAAAAACCCAGTAAAGGGGACAAGATCAGTAGCTCATTTCTTACTTCAAATCTTCAAAAGAATACTGCATTTTTTCTCTCCGGGATTGCTTCTTTGCTGTAACCAAGAAGCAGAGAAAATAAGCAATTACAGATCGAGAAAATAAAACAGATCATAAAGTTGCTTGCTTTTTTTTTGTTTTCAATGGAGATGATGATCAGACAAAAACCAAGAGCTGTGATGTAACACTTCTTCGTTTCAAGTACAACGAAGAGGTCCAAATTCAATTCTTTATCACTCTTGACTGTTGAAACAGATTAAAATTAAAAGAAAAATATGGGGGTTTTTTTCGAACTGAGGGAAATCAAAAGGAAAGAGATGACGAGTCGCTAATGATGGCGATTGAAGATACTATTTTTTATCCATATTATTATTATTATTATTATTATTATTATTATTATTATTATTATTATCATTATTAATATTATTATTATTATTTTTATTTTTATTATTATTATTATTATTTTATTATTAAATATATTAAATACATATAAATCACAAACCAATTACAATTCAACCGGCCCAGTTATAAACCAACTGAAACCGGTCCAAATCCAACCAGAAACCCTAAATATTTGGGTTTTCAGTTAGGGTTTCCTAACCCTAATCATCCTCAGCCGCCTCATCACATCCGTTGGATCTGGCACGATCCAACGGTCCACATAGCTCCAGAGAGGAACCCTAGGGTTTGATACCCTAGGGCCACGCGGCGCCGCCCCAGCTTCCACGCGGCTGTCGACAGTCTTCTCGCCGCCTCCGGCGCTGCCACGTCCCGAATGAAGGCTCCAGAAGATCATACCAGCCGTCCACGCCATGGCTACTCGGTGAGTCACCACTGGTAGTCCGGTGACTCACCGAGAGCCCTTCTTCGGACCGGTCCGACGGCTACAACGGTGGTGGCTATAAAAGCCACCACCCCACCTGCAAAAAAAAAAAAAGAGACAGAGACAGAGACAGAGACAGAACCGGAGAGAAAGAAAAAAAAAAGACAAAGAAAAGAAAAACAAACAAACTATACCAACGATCTCAGCAGCAAAGAACCAGAAGAAAAAAAAAAAGAAAGAAAAAGGAAGAAGAGGCTTACCAAGGAAACCTTGACCGTCGCCGGAAACACTGAACATCGCCGGAGAACCAAAAATACCGAAGGTACTTTTGTAGATTTGCTCCGATTGGGAGCCTTTTAGGAAGAAATAACACCGGAACCGTCCTTAGGACGGTCCGATCTATATATTAGTGTAAAGAAAAATTTTTCCGGCCACCGGATGCGGTGGCCGGCGGTGATGGTCACGGCGGCAGACGGTTGCCGTCCGGTGACCGGCTTCCCTCCGGTGAGGGAAGCTAGAGAGAAGGCAGAGAGTTTTAAAACTCTCTCTGCTAGAGAGAGAAAAAAAAAAGAAATGAAATGGCTGGCCCTTCGGGCCAGCCGGTTTGGACCATTTATAGTCCTTCCCAAACGACGTCGTTTCGGGAAGGACTATACGTGTAATTATGAAATAGTTAAACCCCGTCCGCAGTCCTCCGGATTTGTAAAATTTACATTTTAGTCACTAAATTAAATTTATAATATTCTTAATTTAGTCTTCGAATTTTAATTTAATTTATTTTAGTCCTTCATATTAAAATAATATATTTAGGATAAATTACAGATTTGATCCATTAATTTCTATAAATAATTTTTTAATCCCTAGTTTATATTTTTAATTTATTTCATTATAAAAATTCGAATTTTAGATAATTTTATTTTAGTCACTAAATCATTAAATCAGAAAATAACATATTTGATCCCTATAATTTTGATTAATTACGAATTAGACTTTTAATTTTATTTTTACTGTAATTTAGTCATTTATTTTATATGTTTTCTTTTATTTTATTGTTTTTAAATATATTGTTTTAATAGTATTTTTATTTTTATGAATAAATATTTTTATATATTCATAAATATATATATAATAGTAATTTTTAAATATTTATCTTAATAAATCGAAGAAAATGAAAGTCTTAATACAACTGGATGTCCTATTCTGATATTTTAAAATTAAAAATTAAATAATATTATTTATCAATATCAAAGAAAAAGAGCTGTCTTAAGGCACCTAGAAGTTCTTTTTAGATATTTTTAAATAAATAAATATTATATATATATATAATTTTGAAAATAATAGAATTAAATAAATTTTCGAATTTTTAAATTTTAATAATAGAGACAATTTATAATTGCAAAGTACCAATTTTGGGCATTGTAGGGGTGCTAATCCTTCCCTAAACGTAACCGACCACGAATCCCTTTTTATTACTAAAAAGAACGAATTTTTGGTTATAAACGCAGATCAGTTTAATTTTTTTTAATTGATGTTTTCTTAAAACTCTTTTAAAAGATATTTTTTAGGTATTCGACCTACCTGACCCAAAAGGCCGATGGCGACTCTTAAATTATTTTCAAAATTATTTATTCACATCAATTTCCTCGCCCAATTTAATATTTCGTGCCCGGACGAAAATCGGTTACGACAGCTTGGCGACTCTGCTGGGGACTGGTCAAACTTTTAAAAAAATCAATTATAAATTGTCTCTATTAGTTAAAAATTAAAAATTTATATATTTAATTTTTAATTCTTTTTTTCAAACTTTTTATTTATTTATTATTTTTATAATATTTATATGTTTTATTTTCTTTGCAAGTATTTCATTTCATTATTTATTTTTCTAAAGTTTGAACATTTCTCCTCACACACAACACTTGCATTGCATAACATAAAGCTCTATAATTGAGTTGTCCCTTTTAAGTGAAAGTGAAAGCAACGTCTTCGTGAGAATTTATTCTCCGTGTCAGACCTAGCAAGTAACTTTCGGGGTTCATATGCTCTCTGTCTTCGTGAGAATTTATTCTCCGTGTCAGGCATAGAGAAATGTATCCCCTCGAATTGAACTCGATCCACTTTAGTCTGTAATGGACTAGGATTGAGGGTTAGCAACCCAAGGGGGCACTAACAAGGACAATTCGGGTACCTTTACTCCTAGTTCTGAAACCCTGCATATAAAAAACCTTAGAAACTCTTCCAATCAGAAGTCATGCCGAAATTTTGTCCAAAATAGGTGTACACACAGGAGAAATGAATTATGTCTTTCCTGTTAATTTATTTTATATGTTTATTTAAATTATTTAGAAAAGCATGTTTAAATTAAATAAATGTTATTATCCTTTAAACTAACTTATTTTCTTTTTGTGTGTTCATTATTTTTCTGTTTGCATTGCATCATACAGGATAAAAGACATTGATCCTTGTGTTAATTGTCGCATTGGAAAGCCTTCATCTATGGATAAAAAGTGTTCAAATCAAATAATTCTGAACTCAGAAGTAAGACAGTGGGCTGAGGATTTACAAAGACAAGAAGGAGATAGTCTGCAGGATGATTATGTATCTGACTTGGCCAGTTATGCTTCAGTTTCACTAAAAAGAAATGATATGCAAGATTTGCGAAGCATTTGGGAAAGTTGGGATTCAAACAAAAAATTGCAGTTTTATCAGACTTACGGAGACATCCCATATCTGCTCTATGTAGAAGTTGATGATGAATTACTCCGAGCCCTAGTTCAATTCTGGAATCCAGGGTACAATTGCTTCACTTTCAATAAGGAGGACTTGGTCCCTACTATTGAAGAATACACAACTTTGTTACATATCGAAGGGGCTTTGGAGAATCGAATCTATTCAAAGTCAATTAAAACTCAACCCTTCCGAGTTAAATTAGCAAAAATTGCCGGGGTACGAGAAGAATGGGTAGCATCCCGTACAAAACAAAAAGGCGAAAGCGAAGGCATTGCTTGGACCAACATCAAAGAACTTATTCAGAGTCATCCAGATATTAAAGTACGATTCGATCTATTTGCTCTGGGTATATATGGTATGGTCATATTCCCAAAAGTATTGGGATATATTGAAGCTGCAGTGGTAGACTTGTTTGAACAACTACCGAAGAAGATTAATCCTGTTTCTGCCATCCTAGCAGAGACCTTCAGATCATTAAATGCTTGCAGAAGGCTAGGAGGTGGACGATTCTCAGGGTGTACTCAGTTGTTATATGTTTGGATCCGTAGTCATTTCTGGAGAACAGAAAAGGTTTCATACCGACGCTTTAATACGGATTATTCACCATTAAAGGAATTTCTGGAGCAGGAATGGCCGAAAGAAATTAAGAAAGATATGTGGATTAATGCCTTTCGAAATTTGCAAAGCAATGACGTTGTTTGGCGAGCCCCGTGGCAAATACAAAGGGAATTCATTTACAGATGTGGGGATTACAACTGGATAATGCTGCTCGGATTATGGGGAGGAATTGGATATGCACCACTTCTGGTTATAAGACAATATGAAGGTCGTCAATTTGTACCTGTCACTGCTGGATTACAGTCATCTGAGTTCGCATTTCACAGCAAAAATTATAAAAGAAATATCATGGAAGCCGTTACAGCTTGGAAAACAACTTTTTGTATTCGAGCTAAAGCAGCAAAAGAAATGCTAACTCCTGATTATGAAGATTGGAGATCTGTCAGAAAAAACGAAAATATTCCTCTACCAGATCAAAATGAGGATATCTCTATGGAAGATCGCATTAAGGTGGTTCCATCAGAGATTGAAATCCTGAGAGCTGAGTTTGAAACAGAAAGAGATGGTTGGTCGAAAGAGTTAGAGCAAATGAGACAAGATAAAGCTATGTTAGGGGTTGACATTGACTTTCATTCATCACAATGTGCAATGTTGAGAAGAGATAAAGAAAAAGGTGAGGATGAGTACAGAGCCTTACAGAAAGATTATCAGGAGTTATATAAATCCCGAAAAGCATCAGGACCTAGCCAATCGACGGTACAGATGACCAGAGAATTGAACATCGAGAAAAGACGAGTTGAAGATCTGAAAGAAAAGAATAGCCGTCTACTCAAAAGCCTGGAAAAAGGAAAGCAAAAAATGGAAGATTTTGAGGTCGACAGACGA